CCAGAAGTGACCTCCTGAATCCCATTCCTGTGACCCCTGAGGTGTCATGCCTGTGCCCACAAGCCCCACAACCCCACTCCCAGTTCTGTGTTCCTTCCCCCCTAGTGTCACCCCAGACCCTCTGCAGTTCCCCAGCCCAAACCCTGGGAACAATCCCTGACATCCCCAGTCTCCCCTCAGTGCCCCACCAGACCCCAGTCCAAATCCCAGTCCTGTGTTTACCCTTCTGATGTCCCCCCAATGCTCCCCAGGCACTCATTCCTGCTCCCACACCTCTTTAGACCACTTGTGACCCCAGGGCCCTCAGGAACCTCACCCAAATTCCCAAAGCCACTCCCTCACCCACCCCAGTGTGTCCCTCAATGCTCTCCCACACCCCAGTCAAGCTCCCAGCCCCATGATCCTTTTGGTGGCACCCCAGGACCCCAACCCAAATCTGGGGATCCACCCTTGTCTCCACAACATCCCACTGGAGCCCCCATGGCCCCACTCTGCAACCCCAGTCCCGTGTCCCTCCCTCAAGTGTCCCCAGTGTCCCCCAGCCCCTGATACCGAAATCAGCCGGAGTGAACTCCCTGATGGAACTGGAGGTATCAGAAAGAGGGAATTCTTGATCAGCCTGGAATCACAGCAGATCTCTCCTGGTCCTGCAGCTCAGGGGAGACTTTGCCATGGGGTATTTATCCACCACAATTATAAATATTCATTACAATCAGCCTCTTATCTTGTACAGAAACAGCACTTCCTCAAGAAATTATTTGCATGGCTCCACCTTTCTCTGGAAGTTCTATTATGGAACTGGAAGGTAATAAAAATGGGGTCTCTGAGGGCCATTTTCACTGACTGCCCCAATATGCCAGATGACTTTATCTGCAATATTTGCTTTTTGTAGGCGCTACTCCTCCTCCTCCTTTTTGTGTTGCCAAAAACCCCTCACTGGTGTTCCTTTACCTGTTTCCCCATGGGCTCCAGCCATGTTCATCCTCAGTATCCACCCATTTTCATCCTTTTCATGCTTTTGCCAGTCCGTCTTTAATCTCTATCCAGTGCCTTCAGGGAAAATGAAACTTTCTGTTTTATTTCTATCAACTGAGACTTCAGGTGACCTGTGCGGTGCTTTTCCAAACAACTCAATCAGCCACGACTGGCCCAGGTCAATGTGGGCTGTGGTAGCAAATGCTCTCCTCATCCAAGAGGCCAGGAAATCCAATTTGGGACAAAAGTTTGTGGGATATACTCTTCTCACCCTAACTGCAAGAAGATGTGGAACAAGGGGCGGAGCTCGGTGTGTTACAAAGAGCTCTGGAATTGGCAGTGAGAGAAAGAGCAAACATTGGAACTCACTTGCCATCTGCTTTGAGCATTGCTCATGCCAACGGAGCCATTTGGAAAGAAAAAAGTCAAATACCAGCACAGGGATCTCTGATTAAATATGAACGAGAATTATTGTCCCTCCTTGATAACACCCAGCTGCCCAAAGAAGTGGCCGTACTACAAACCAGGGCACACCAGCTTGCGGATTGACAAATCATTGTGGGTTAATACACTTGCAATAAAGCTGCACGAGAGGTTCCACAACAAAGCATCCTGGTGTTAATTCCTGAGAAAGGAATTTCAGCCCCAGAGGTGAGGCCTGGAGAGAGTTGGGCAGATTGAAAATTGGCTGCTTATGTAAAAGCCCACAATAAAGAGGGTGGCTGGCTGGGTTGGTGAGAGGTTATTCCCAATAACCAGGTCAGGCCCTCCCCAGCTGTTGCTGCAATTTGTAAAGGAGAAAAGCACCAGCAAAGCTCTGGGGAATTCATGAGATGGGGACTGATCTGTGGCCTCAGATCCTCAGTGTCCCATAGGACAAAACTGTCAGGTCTGTTACAGAGCAATGCCCAATATATTTTCAAAAGAAAATATATTTTGCATTCAAAACCATCACCTCCAGGCATCACTGGAAGAGGAAACACTCCTAGGGTTTACTGGCTGTGGGAAATGGAAAGATGGAAACTTCCACACATTCAGGAGGGTTTGATCTGCAGCCTTGAAAGGAGCTTGAATTGGTGTAAGAATAAAGTACACAGACATTAAGTTGAAAAATCCTGAATTGATGTTTCTCAAGTTGTGAGTAAGAATATGCCTGAAGTAAGTAAGAAACTGTATTGGGCAAAGATGGTGAAGGGTCTATAGTACAGAAATGTGATTGCATAGAGTAAGTGAAGAGTTTAAGAGTTATAAGAGAAGCAAAGGTGTGCACATGAGTTAGAAGCCCATTGGGTAAAAACATCAGCAGTGCATTGGAAGTGAGTAAAGGCGGTAAGTTAGAAAAGCAAAATAACAGTCCATTGGATTAGATAGTTAGATAGTGTCTTGCAACAAAGAACTTGTGACTACTTTGTGCTATTGCTGACTGCCTGCTCCTCTAAATTCCCATGGCCTCTGAGACTGATGTTTATCTGAGCAATAAATGCTTCTTAGCCCAATGGCAGTCGCATCTCTTCATTAAAAGTGGTGGCAATGATAAGTGGCAAAAGGAACTTCTGAGCTACCACGCCAACATGGGCTCAGGTATCTCCTGGTGTTGGGGGATCCCTTCTTGGGGGGTCCAGAAGTTCTCCTGTCACACCAACAAGGCCGGGGAAGTCACCCAGGTGACTTCCCAACCACTCCTCCAAGAGATCATCTACAGGCTCAAGGTGCCAAGAGTGATGATAGGGGACACCAGTTGGTATCTGAGGTGTGACAGCAAGGCAGTGAGCAGCTGGGAGAGGGGCTGGGGGGAACTCTGGGCATGTGGGACAGTGGGAGAGTGGGAGCAGGATTGGAGTGGTGAAGGGGGGTGAAAGAGGAGAAAGAAAAGGAAGTTTCAGTTCCCCTGAAGGCTCTGGGTAGAGTTTAAAGACTGACTGCCTAAAGCAAGAAACGGATGTAAAAGTGTGGATATGCAGGATAAAAGTGGAGGCGACTGAGAGCAACCACCCTCTTTATTGTGGGTTTTAGATAAGCAGCAAATTTTCAATCTGCCCAACTCTCTCCAGGCCTCAACTATGGGGCTGAAATTCCTTTCTCAGGAATTAACACCAGGATGCTTTGTTGCGGAACCTCTCGTGCAGCTTTATTGCAAATCTATTTACCCACAATGATTTGCCAATCCGCAAGCTGGTGTGCCCTGGATTGTAGTACGGCCACTTCTTCGCGCAGCTTGGTGTTATCAAGGAGGGACTATATTTGTTCTTTATATTTAATTTGAGGTCCCTGTGCTGGTATTTGACTTTTTTCTTTCCAAATGGCTCCGTTGGCATGAGCAATGCTCAAAGCAGATGGCAAGTGAGTTCCAATGTTTGCTCTTTCTCTCACTGCCAATTCCAGAGCTCTTTGTAACACACCGAGCTCCGCCCCTTGTTCCACATCTTCTTGCAGTTACAGTGAGAAGAGTATATAGCACAAACTTTTGTCCCAGATTGGATTTCCTGGCCACTTGGATGAGGAGAGCAGTTGCTGCTATAGCCCACATTGACCTGGGCCAGTCGTGGCTGATTGAGTTGTTTGGAAAAGCACCGCACAGGTCACCTGAAGTCTCAGTTGAGAGAAATAAAACAGAAAGTTTCATTTTCCCTGAAGGCACTGGATAGAGCTTAAAGACGGACTGGCAAAAGCATGAACAGGATGAAAATGGGTGGATACTGAGGATGAACATGGCTGGAGCCCATGGGGGAACAGGTAAAGGAACTCCAGTGAGGGGTTTTGGCAACACAGGAGGAGCAGCGCCTGCAAAAAGCAAATGTTCCATGTGAGGTCATCTGGCATATTGGGACAGTCAGTGAAAATGGCCCTCAGAGACCCCATTTTTATGACCTTCCAGGTCCATAATAGAACTTCCAGAGAAAGGTGGAGCCATGCAAATAATTTCTTGAGAAAGTGCTGTTTCTGTATGAGATAAGAAGCTGATTGTAATGAATATTTATAATTGTGGTGGATAAATACCCCATGGCAAAATCTCCCCTGAGCTGCAGGACCAGGAGAGATCTGCTGTGATTCCGAGCTGATCAAGAATTCCATCTTTCTGATACCTCCAGTTCCATCAGGGAGTTCACTCCGGCTGATTTCGGTATCAGGGGCTGGGGGACACTGGGGACACTTGTGGGAGGGACACGGGACTGGGGTTGCAGAGCGGGGCCATGGGGGGCTCCAGCGGGATGTTGTGGAGACAAGGGTGGATCTCCAGATTTGGGTTGGGGTCCTGGGGTGCCACCAAAAGGATCATGGGGCTGGGAGCTTGACTGGGGTGTGGGAGAGCATTGAGGGACACACTGGGGTGGGTGAGGGAGTGGCTTTGGGAATCTGGGTGAGGTTCCTGAGGGCCCTGGGGTCACAAGTGGTCTAAAGAGGTGTGGGAGCAGGAATGAGTTCCTGGGGAGCATTGGGGGGATATCAGAAGAGTAAACACAGGACTGGGATTTGCACTGGGGTGTGGTGGGGCACTGAGGGGACCCTGGGGATGTCAGGGATTGTTCCCAGGGTTTGGGCTGGGGAACTGCAGAGGGTCTGGGGTGACACTAGGGGGGAAGGGACATGGGACTGGGAGTGGGGTTGTGGGGCTAGTGGGCACAAGGACGACACTGGAGGGGTCACAGGAATGGGATTCAGGAGGTCACTCCTGGGGGAACAGGGAGTTACCTGAGAACTTGGATCAAGTTTCTGGGGGTCATTATGGCGAAACCAGTGGTAGGGGACATGGGACCATGGGAGTGGGATTGCTGTCCTGGGGTTCTGAGGGACCCTGGGGATTCCAGGCATAACGCCAGGATTTGGGATCAGCATTCCAGGATGTGTCCTTGGGTCTTCTGGCCCGAGCTGCCCCTCAGCCCTGCTCCAGGCTGACCCCAGTTTTCCCCCTCAGCCCCTCATAGAGGAACCCTTCCCATGTAACCCCATGTGCTCCTATTGTCCCCTCAGTGTGTCCCTCTTTGTTCCCCAGTGTCACACACTGCTCTCAGTGGCCATTCGCTGCAATGGCTCTCCTGGCTCACACCCTGGCACTGCTGGCAATGACCATGGCCACGGTGGCCATCAAGGTGGTGCCCCTGGACATGGCCCAGGACTCCTTCGATGACCAGTACTGGGGCTGCGGCCCTGCCATGACCAAGGCATTGCCAGCACTCTACAAATTTGAGTTTCAGAAGAATCCTCTCTTTGCCAAGACCTGGGTGAAGGCTGAGGCTGAGTGGCACAAGCGGGGCTCCCCTGTGTCCCCTCTGGCGTCCCCCAAGCAGGCCATCGCTGTCATGGCCTACACAATGAAGTACCTATACAAGGAGTTCAACGCAGCCGTGCACGTGGCTGGGCGCTCACACCAGGAATACAGAAACAACTTCCACTTCAAAACGCTGCATTTCCTGCTGACCCAGGCCCTGGTGACACTGAGGCATGCTCAGAACGGGCAGTGTCGCCACGTGTTCCGGGGCGTGCGTGACGTTCATTTCAAGGCACGACCAGGCCAGAGGGTCCGGTTTGGTCAGTTCACATCGACGTCGCTGAGCAAAGAAGTTGCCCAGCATTATGGGACAGACACGATTCTCCAGCTTCACACGTGCCATGGTGTGGACATCCATGCTTTTTCCTATGATCCTAGCAGCCGAGAGGTGTTGATCCCACCATATGAGACCTTTCAGGTCACCCAAGTCATCTGGGATGGGAAGAGGACATGGATGTGGCTCCGCTCTGCCGGGACCTTCAGCAAATACAACTGCGAATGGCACCACTGAGGTGACCACAGCAGGCAACCTGGGGGGATGAGGGCACCCACTGTGGGCATAGGGACCCCCTGACAAGGCTCAGAGAACCATGACCCTCACTGCTGTTGGGGGACCGGTAGAGGGGCACCCACAGTGTGTGGGTGGACAATGACACCCACAGCTGGAGAGAAACACAGGGATACCCAATGCTGGGGACACCCAGTGACAGTGTGGGGACAGGGACACCCAGCCCTGGGGACAGCCACTCTTGGCAGGGGACACACATGACATGACACAGGGGGTTTGGGTACACTCCCTGCCAGCTATGGGGCACGCACTGAGAGTTTGGGGTGAGAGACAGCCCATGCTGGGGATACCAAGTCTGGAGACACCCATTGTGGGCATGGGGAAAGGAACACCCATGGCAGGGCACTGGGATCGGGAACCCCACAGCTGGGAGGGGACAGGGACAGGGACATCCCTGCCAGGAGAGGCCAAGGACAGAGACAGAGATAGGGATGTCCCCGTACCAACCCTGTCCCTCCCCACCAAAGGCAGTGCTGTGGGGACGGGCCCTGTGTGCTGTGCGCGGGTGGGCCGGGATCCCCACAGCATTCCCTGAACCCCTGTCACCCCCTGCCAGCCCCATGGCACTCCCTGACTCCCCCTAACCCCTGTCACTGCTAAGCCCACCATGACACTCTTACACCCCTGGAACCCATCCCCTGCTCCCCTCACACACCTTGCCACCTGTCACCTCATGGGCCCCATCTATCTTGTCACCCCTAACACACCATTACGACTGTCCCTGACCTCCTTACTCCTTCCATGGTCCCCCTGACCCTCCTCTTTCTTCCCCAGGAGCATCCCCATGGCACCCTTCCACCTCAGAGAACTCCTCCTCGCCCCACACCCCTGGAAGTTATCACCAGGATCCTCTGAGCAACAAGGCCACCAAGGCCACAGGCTCACTGTGGTGACTGTGGCAACCATGGCCACCATGGATGCCAAGGTTCCTGTCATCCCTGAGGCCACCACAATCAGCAAGACCACCAAGACTCCCATGGAAATAAGACCCCCAAAGCTGCCAAAGCCACCACAGCCACTCTGTCCCCCATGATCTCTGTAAACCACCAAGGCCACTGTGACCACCATGGTCTCTATAACCACCAAGCCCACTGTGGCCACCTTGATCACCAAGACGCCCTCAGCCACAAACTTACAACAGCCACTGTAGCAACTGTGGCCACCAATAACATTGTGCAAAGCAATTCTATTAAAAAATTCAATCCAAACAATTCAATTAATAATATCAGACAAAGCCAGAAAATAGCAACAATTTTTATGCAGTGCTAAATGGCATTGGCCAGAAGAACACTCGTGGGAACGTCTCTTTCTCTGAATCTTGAGGAGGATCCTTGGAAAGCATCCCCTTCCCAAGGGAGGATCCTCACACAGATTTCATTTTAAGCAGGAATAGGGGAGAGAAATCTCTATCTGAAAGGGGACTGAAAATGCCCAGGGTCAGTTGATGGATGGCCAGGCCCAGCTCTGGTGCTTCACACTCAGTTGTCCATTTGAGGTTGGTGATTTGGGCTGGTTTTAGCCCAATTCTGCACCAAAATCAGCAGCAGATCCCTCTCCATGCAGCCCCAATGGCCACAAATGGGGCATTGTCCCTTGGCCACATTCCAGGCAGAGCATCCTGCCACATCCTGCACTTCAGGGGACCTTAAAGGCTGGAAATTGGGAGGTTCAAGAGGGAAGGGCAGGTCATGTCCCTTTGGGAGGAACAGTCCTCAGTCTCAGTCCAGGCTGGGTGGGACCTGCTGGAGCAGCTCTGGGGAAGGACCTGGGGATGCTGGTGGGTGACCATTGGAGATGCTGTGTGGCCTGGGGCCAGGAGGGATCCAAGAGGCATTGGGAAGAGCAGGCCCAGGAAGTCAGGCAGGTTTTGTACCCCTCTGCCCTTCCCAGGGAGGCACATCAGGACACATTGCTGTGTCCAGCTCTGTCCACTGCTGCTTCCAGATCTGTCCAGTGCTGTGTCCCTTTCTGCACTGCTCTGGACACAATCGTGGTCTCAGGCATGATGCTGCCTGAGCCGGGAGGTTGGGCCAGGTGCCCACTCTGGGTCCTTCCAGCCTGACCCATGCTGGGATTTGGGGATTCTGGCAGTTGTGGTTCAGGAATTGTCCACCGGAGGGCAGCAGCGAGCGTGGGAAACTCACTTGCCATCTGCTTTGAGCATTGCTCATGCCTATGGAGGCACATGGGAAGAAAAAAGTCAAATACCAGCACAGGGACCTCGAATTAAATATAAACAAGAATTATTGTCCCTCCTTGGTAACACCCAGCTGCCCAAGGAAATGGCCTCACCTCTGGGGGTGAAATTCCTTTCTCAGGAATTAACACCAGGATGCTTTGTTGAGGAACCTCTTGTGCAGCTTTATTGCAAATCTATTTACCCACAATGATTTGCCAATCCGCAAGCTGGTGTGCCCTGGATTGTAGTAAGGCCACTTCTTTGGGCAGCTGGGTGTTATCAAGGAGGGACTATATTTGTTCTTTATATTTAATTTGAGGTCCCTGTGCTGGTATTTGACTTTTTCCTTTCCAAATGGCTCCGTTGGCATGAGCAATGCTCAAAGCAGATGGCAAGTGAGTTCCAATGTTTGCTCTTTCTCTCACTGCCAATTCCAGAGCTCTTTGTAACACACCGAGCTCCGCCCCTTGCTCCACATCTTCTTGCAGTTGCAGTGAGCAGAGTATATACCACAAAGTTTTGTCCCAGATTGGATTTCCTGGCCTCTTGGATGAGGAGAGCATTTGCTGCCACAGCCCATATTGACCTGGGCCAATCGTGGCTGATTGAGTTGTTTGGAAAAGCACCGCACAGGTCACCTGAAATCTCAGTTGAGAGAAATAAAACAGAAAGTTTCATTTTCCCTGAAGGCACTGGATAGAGCTTAAAGACGGACTGGCAAAAGCATGAACAGGATGAAAATGGGTGGATACTGAGGATGAACATGGCTGGAGCCCATGGCAAAACAGGTAAAGGAACACCAGTGAGGGTTTTTTGGCAACACAGGAGGAGTAGCACCTGCTCAAAGCAAATGTTCCATGTGAGGTCATCTGGGATATTGGGACAGTTAGTGAAAATGGCCCTCAGAGACCCCATTTTTAGGACCTTCCAGTTCCATAATAGAACTTCCAGAGAAAGGTGGAGCCATGCAAATAATTTCTTGAGAAAGTGCTGTTTCTGTACAAGATAAGAAGCTGATTGTAATGAATATTTATAATTGTGGTGGATAAATACCCCATGGCAAAGTTTCCCCTGAGCTGCAGGACCAGGAGAGATCTGCTGTGATTCCAGGCTGATCAAGAATTCCGTCTTTCTGACACCTCCAGTTCCATCCGGGAGTTCACTCTGGCTGATTTCGGTATCAGGGGCTGGGGGACACTGGGGACACTTGAGGGAGGGACACGGGACTGGGGTTGCAGAGTGGGGCCATGGGGGCTCCAGCGGGATGTTGTGGAGACAAGGGTGGATCTCCAGATTTGGGTTGGGGTCCTGGGGTGCCACCAAAAGGATCATGGGGCTGGGAGCTTGACTGGGGTGTGGGAGAGCATTGAGGGACACACTGGGGTGGGTGAGGGAGTGGCTTTGGGAATCTGGGTGAGGTTCCTGAGGGCCCTGGGGTCACAAGTGGTCTAAAGAGGTGTGGGAGCAGGAATGAGTTCCTGAGGAGCATTGGGGGGACATCAGAAGGGTAAACACAGGACTGGGATTTGGACTGGGGTGTGGTGGGGAACTGAGGGGACCCTGGGGATGTCAGAGATTGTTGCCAGGGTTTGGGCTGGGGAACTGCAGAGGGTCTGGGGTGACACTAGGGGGGAAGGGACACGGGACTGGGAGTGGGGATGTGGGGCTAGTGGGCACAGGGACAACACTGGAGGGGTCACAGGAATGGGATTCAGGAGGTCACTTCTGGGGGGACAGGGAGTTACCTGAGAACTTGGATCAAGTTCCTGGGGGTCATTAGAGGGAAACCAGTGGTAGGGGACATGGGACCATGGGAGTGGGATTGCTGTCCTGGGGTTCTGAGGGACCCTGGGGATTCCAGGCATAACGCCAGGATTTGGGATCAGCATTCCAGGATGTGTCCTCGGGTCTTCTGGCCCGAGCTGCCCCTCAGTCCTGCTCCAGGCTGACCCCAGTTCCCCTCCTCAGCCCCTCATAGGGGAACCCTTCCCATGTATCCCGGTGCCACCTCACTGTCCCCTCAGTGTGTCCCTCTTTGTTCCCCAGTGTCCCACACTGCTCTCGGTGGCCTCTCCCCGCCATGGCCCTTCTGGCTCACACCCTGGCACTGCTGGCAATGACCATGGCCACGGTGGCCATCAAGGTGGTGCCCCTGGACATAGCCCAGGACTCCTTTGATGACCAGTACCGGGGCTGCGGCCCTGCCATGACCAAGGCGTTGCCAGCACTCTACAAATTTGAGTTTCAGAAGAATCCTCTCTTTGCCAAGACCTGGGTAAAGGCTGAGGCCGAGTGGCGCAAGCGGGGCTCCCCTGTGTCCCCTCTGGCGTCCCAGTGGCAGGCCATTGCTCTCATGGCCTACTCAATGAAGGACATTTACAAGGACTTCAACGCAGCCGTGTGCACGGCCGGGCGCTCCCGTCAGGAATACAGAAACAATTTCCACTTCAAAACGCTGCATTTCCTGCTGACCCAGGCCCTGGTGATGCTGAGGCAGGCTCAGAAAGGGCAGTGTCACCAGGTGTTCCGGGGTGTGCATGACGTTCATTTCAAGGCACGGCAAGGCCAGTGGGTCCGGTTTGGCCAATTCACATCGACGTCGCTGCGTAAAGAGATTGCTCTGCGATTTGGGACAGACACGATATTCCTAGTGCGGACATGCCATGGTGTGGATGTCCGTCAGTACTCCGAGTATCCAACAGAGGAAGAGGTGCTGATCCCGCCATTCGAGACCTTTCAGGTCACCCAAGTCACCTGGGATGGGAGGAGGACATGGATCTGGCTCCGCTCTGCTGGGACCTACAGCAGATACAACTGCGCATATTAATGAGGTGACCACAGGGCACACCCTGGGAGGATTCGGACTCCTACTGTGGGCATGGGGACTCCCATGATAAGGCTCAGAGGACAATGACACTCACTGGGAACGGGAGACAGGCGTATAGGGGCACCCACAGTGTGTGGGTGGACAATGACACCCACAGCTGGAGAGAAACACAGGGATATCCAGTGCTGGGGACACCCAGTGACAGTGTGGGGACAGGGACACCCAGCCCTGGGGACAGCCACTCTTGGCTGGGGACACACATGACACGACACAGGGGGTTTGGGTGCACTCCCTGCAACCTGTGGGGACACGCACTGAGAGTTTGGGGTGAGAGACCTGCTGTGCCTGGGATACCAAGTCTGGAGACACCCATTGTGGGCATGGGGAAAGGAACACCCATGACAGGGCACTGGGATGGGGACCCCTTCAGCTAGGAGGGGACCGGGGAACAGGGACCAGGAAACCACTGCCAGGAGAGGCCAAGGACACAGACAGAGACAGGGACGGCCCTGTACCAACCCTGTCCCTCCCCACCAAAGGCAGTGCTGTGGGGACGGGCCCTGTGTGCTGTGCGCGGGTGGGCCGGGATCCCCATAGCATTCCCTGAACCCCTGTCACCCCCTGCCGGCCCCATGGCACTCCCTGACTCCCCCTAACCCCTGTCACTGCTAAGCCCACCATGACACTCTTACACCCCTGGAACCCATCCCCTGCTCCCCTCACACACCTTGTCACCTGTTACCTCATGGGCCCCATCTATCTTGTCACCCCTAACACACCAATATGACTGTCCCTAACCTCCTTACTCCTTCCATGGTCCCCCTGACCTTCCTCTTTCTTCCCCAGGAGCATCCCCAGGAGCATCCCCAGGGCCCCCTTCCACCTCAGAGAACTCCTCCTTGCCCCACATCCCTGGAAGTTATCAACCGGATCCTCTGAGCCACAAGGCCACCAAGGCCACAGGCTCACTGTGGTGACTGTGGCAACCATAGCCACCATGGATGCCAAGGTTCCCGTCATCCCTGAGGCAACCACAATCAGCAAGACCACCAAGACTCCCATGGAAATAAGACCCCCAAAGCTGCCAAAGCCACCACACCCACTCTGACCCCTATGATCTCTGTAAACCACCAAGGCCACTGTGACCACCATGATCTCTATAACCACCAAGCCCACTGTGGCCACCTTGATCACCAAGATGCCCTCAGCCACAAACTTACAACAGCCACTGTAGCCACTGTGGCCACCAGTAACATTGTGCAAAGCAATTCTATTAAAAAATTCAATCAAAACAATTCAATTAATAATATCAGACAAAGCCAGAAAATAGTGACAATTTTTATGCAGTGCTAAATGGCATTGGCCAGAACAAAACTCGTGGGAACGTCTCTTTCTCTGAATCTTGAGGAGGATCCTTGGAAAGCATCCCCTTCCCAAGGGAGGATCCTCACACAGATTTCATTTTAAGCAGGAATAGGGGAGAGAAATCTCTATCTGAAAGGGGACTGAACATGCCCAGGGTCAGTTGATGGATGGCCAGGCACAGCTCTGGTGCTTCACACTCAGTTGTTGATTCGAGGTTGGTGATTTGGGCTGGTTTTAGCCCAATTCTTCACCAAAATCAGCACCAGATCCCTCTCCATGCAGCCCCAATGGCCACAAATGGGGCATTTTCCCTTGGCCACATTCCAGGCAGAGCATCCTGCCACATCCTGCACTTCAAGGGGACCTTAAAGGCTGGAAACTGGGAGATTCAAGAGGGAAGGGCAGGTCCTGTCCCTTTGGGAGGAACAGTCCTCAGTCTCAGTCCAGGCTGGGTGGGACCTGCTGGAGCAGTTCTGGAAAAGGACCTGGGGATGCTGGTTGGTGACCATTGGAGATGCTGTGTGGCCTGGGGCCAGGCAGGATCCAAGAGGCATTGGGAAGAGCAGGCCCAGGAAGTAAGGCAGGTTTTGTACCCCTCTGCCCTTCCCAGGGAGGCACATCAGGACACATTGCTGTGTCCAGCTCTGTCCACTGCTGCTTCCAGATCTGTCCAGTGCTGTGTCCCTTTCTGCACTGCTCTGGACACAATCGTGGTCTCAGGCATGATGCTGCCTGAGCCGGGAGGTTGGGCCAGGTGCCCACTCTGGGTCCTTCCAGCCTGACCCATGCTGGGATTTGGGGATTCTGGCAGTTGTGGTTCAGGAATTGTCCACCGGAGGGCAGCAGCGAGCGTGGGAAACTCACTTGCCATCTGCTTTGAGCATTGCTCATGCCCATGGAGGCACATGGGAAGAAAAAAGTCAAATACCAGCACAGGGACCTCGAATTAAATATAAACAAGAATTATTGTCCCTCCTTGGTAACACCCAGCTGCCCAAGGAAATGGCCTCACCTCTGGGGGTGAAATTCCTTTCTCAGGAATTAACACCAGGATGCTTTGTTGCGGAACCTCTTGTGCAGCTTTATTGCAAATCTATTTACCCACAATGATTTGCCAATCCACAAGCTGGTGTGCCCTGGATTGTAGTAAGGCCACTTCTCCGCACAGCTTGGTGTTATCAAGGAGGGACTATATTTGTTCTTTATATTTGATTTGAGGTCCCTGTGCTGGTATTTGACTTTTTCCTTTCCAAATGGCTCCGTTGGCATGAGCAATGCTCAAAGCAGATGGCAAGTGAGTTCCAATGTTTGCTCTTTCTCTCACTGCCAATTCCAGAGCTCTTTGTAACACACCGAGCTCCGTCCCAGATTGGATTTCCTGGCCTCTTGGATGAGGAGAGCATTTGCTACCACAGCCCACATTGACCTGGGCCAATCGTGGCTGATTGAGTTGTTTGGAAAAGCACCGCACAGGTCACCTGAAATCTCAGTTGATAGAAATAAAAGAGAAAGTTTCATTTTCCCTGAAGGCACTGGATAGAGCTTAAAGACGGACTGGCAAAAGCATGAAGAGGATGAAAATGGGTGGATACTGAGGATGAACATGGCTGGAGCCCATGGGGAAACAGGTAAAGGAACTCCAGTGAGGGTTTTTTGGCAACACAAAAAGGAGGAGGAGGAGTAGTACCTGCAAAAAGCAAATGTTCCATGTGAGGTCATCTGGCATATTGGGACAGTCAGTGAAAATGGCCCTCAGAGACCCCATTTCTATGACCTTCCAGTTCCATAATAGAACTTCCAGAGAAAGGTGGAGCCATGCAAATGATTTCTTGAGAAAGTGCTGTTTCTGTATGAGATAAGAAGCTGATTGTAATGAATATTTATAATTGTGGTGGATAAATACCCCATGGCAAAGTCTCCCCTGAGCTGCAGGACCAGGAGAGATCTGCTGTGATTCCGAGCTGATCAAGAATTCCGTCTTTCTGCTACCTCCAGTTCCATCAGGGAGTTCACTCCGGCAGATTTCGGTATCAGGGGCTGGGGGACACTGGGGACACTTGAGGGAGGGACGCGGGACTGGGGTTGCAGAGTGGGGCCATGGGGGGCTCCAGCAGGATGTTGTGGAGACAAGGGTGGATCCCCAGATTTGGGTTGGGGTCCTGGGGTGCCACCAAAAGGATCATGGGGCTGGGAGCTTGACTGGGGTGTGGGAGAGCATTGAGGGACACACTGGGGTGGGTGAGGGAGTGGCTTTGGGAATCTGGGTGAGGTTCCTGAGGGCCCTGGGGTCACAAGTGGTCTAAAGAGGTGTGGGAGCAGGAATGAGTTCCTGGGGAGCATTGGGGGGACATCAGTAGGGTAAACACAGGACTGGGATTTGGACTGGGGTCTGCTGGGGCACTCAGGGGAAACTGGGGATGTCAGGGATTGTTCCCAGGGTTTGGGCTGGGGAACTGCAGAGGGTCTGGGGTGACATTAGGGGGGAAGGGACACGGGACTGGGAGTGGGGTTGTGGGGCTAGTGGGCACAGGGACAACACTGGAGGGGTCACAGGAATGGGATTCAGGAGGTCACTCCTGGGGGGACAGGGAGTTACCTGAGAACTTGGATCAAGTTCCTGGGGGTCATTAGGGGGAAACCAGTGGTAGGGGACATGGGATCATGGGAGTGGGATTGTTGTCCTGGGGTTCTGAGGGACCCTGCGGATTCCAGGCATAACGCCAGGATTTGGGATCAGCATTCCAGGATGTGTCCTCGGGTCTTCTGGCGCGAGCTGCCCCTCAGCCCTGCTCCAGGCTGACCCCAGTTCCCCTCCTCAGCCCCTCATAGGGGAACCCTTCCCATGTATCCCGGTGCCACCTCACTGTCCCCTCAGTGTGTCCCTCTTTGTTCCCCAGTGTCCCACCTAACTCCTAGTGGCCCTTCGCTGCAATGGCTCTCCTGGCTCACACCCTGGCACTGCTGGCAATGACCATGGCCACGGTGGCCATCAAGGTGGAGCCCCTGGACATGGCCCTGGACTCCTTCGATGACCAGTACCGGGGCTGCGGCCCTGCCATGACCAAGGCGTTGCCAGCACTCTACAACTTTGAGTTCCAGGTGAAACCACTCTTTGCCAAGACCTGGGTGAAGGCTGAGGCTGAGTGGCGCAGGCGGGGCTCCCCTGTGTCCCCTCTGGCATCCCAGTGGCAGGCCATTGCTCTCATGGCCTACTCAATGAAGGACATTTACACGGACTTCAACGCAGCCGTGCGCACGGCCGGGCGTTCCCGCCAGGAATACAGAAATAACTTCCACTTCAAAACGCTGCATTTCCTGCTGACCCAGGCTCTGGTGACACTGAGGCAGGCTCGGAACAGGCAGTGTCACCAGGTGTTCCGGGGTGTGCGTGACGTTCGCTTCCAGGCACGGCGTGGCCAGCGGGTCCGGTTTGGTCAGTTCACATCGACGTCGCTGCGTAAAGAAATTGCTCTGCGATTTGGGACAGACACGATATTCCAAGTGCAGACATGCCATGGTGTGGTCGTCCGTCAGTTCTCCAAGTATCCAACAGAGGAAGAGGTGCTGATCCCACCATTCGAGACCTTTCAGGTCACCCAAGTCACCTGGGATGGGAGGAGGACATGGATCTGGCTCCGCTCCGCTGGGACCTACAGCAGATACAACTGTGCATATTAATGAGGTGACCACAGGGCACACCCTGGGAGGATTCGGACTCCTACTGTGGGCATGGGGACTCCCATGATAAGGCTCAGAGGACAATGACACTCACTGGGGATGGGAGACAGGGCTTTAGGGGCACCCACAGTGTGTGGGTGGATAATGACACCCACAGCTGGAGAGAAACACAGGGATACCCAATGCTGGGGACACCCAGTGACAGTGTGGGGACAGGGACACCCAGCCCTGGGGACAGCCACTCTTGGCTGGGGACACACATGACACGACACAGGGGGTTTGGGGACACTCCCTGCAACCTGTGGGGACACGCACTGAGAGTTTGGGGACAGGGACATGCTGTGCCTGGGATACCAAGTCTGGGGACACCCATTGTGGGCATGGGGAAAGGAACACCCATGACAGGGCACTGGGATGGGGACCCCTTCAGCTAGGAGGGGACCGGGGAACAGGGACCGGGACACCACTGCCAGGAAAGGCCAAGGACAGCAACAGAGACAGGGATGTCCCCGTACCAAGCCTGTCCCTCCCCACCAAAGGCAGTGCTGTGGGGACGGGCCCGGTGTGCTGTGCGCGGGTGGGCCGGGATCCCCATAGCATTCCCTGAACCCCTGTCACCCCCTGCCAGCCCCATGGCACTCCCTGACTCCCCCTAACCCCTGTCACTGCTAAGCCCACCATGACACTCTTACACCCCTGGAACCCATCCCCTGCTCCCCTCGCACACCTTGTCACCTGTCACCTCATGGGCCCCATCTATCTTGTCACCCCTAACACACCAATATGACTGTCCCTGACCTCCTTACTCCTTACATAGTCCCCCTGACTCTCCTCTTTCTTCCCCAGGAGCATCCCCAGGGCCCCCTTCCACCTCAGAGAACTCCTCCTTGCCCCACATCCCTGGAAGTTGCCATCAGGATCCTCTGAGACACAAGTCTGCCAAGGCCACCAAGGCCACAGGCTCACTGTGGTGACTGTGGCAAGCACGGCCACCATGGATGCCAAGGTCCCTGTCATTGCTGTGGCCGCCACGCCACACTCAGCAAGACCACCAAGAGCCCCATGGAAATAAGACCCCCAAAGGTGCCAAAGCCACCACAGCCACTCTGGCCACCATGCTCACTGTAACCACCAAGGCCACTGTGACCACCATGATCACAAAGACTCCCTGAGCCACAAGGCTACCACAGCCACCCTGGCCAGTGTGGCCACCAAGGCCCTTGTGCAAAGCAATTCTAATAAATAATTCTATCATAACAATGCCATTAAATAAATCTGTCACAGCCAGCCAAAAGTGATTATTCTTAAGCAGGGTTTGATGTCATTCCCCACACGAACACGCATGAGAACATCTCTTTCTCTCAATCTAGAGGAGAATCCTTTGGGAGCATCCCCTTCCCAAAAGAGGAACCTCAAAGACATTTCATTTTCAGAAGAAATAGGGGAGAGGAATCCCTGTTTGAGAGGGGACTGGACATTCTCAGGGTCAGCTGATGAATGGCCAGGCACAGCTCTGGTGCTTCAGCATCAGTTGTCAATTTGGCGCATGTGATTTGGGCTGGTTTTAGCCCAATTCTTCACCAAAATCAGTGCCAGACTTCTCCCAATGCAGCCCTGATAGCTGCAAATGGGGCATTTTCCCTTGGCCACATTCCAGGCAGAGCATCCTGACACATCCTGCACTTCAGGGGAACATTAAAGCCTGGAAACTGGGAGGTTGAAGAGGGCAAGGGCAGGTCCTGTCCCTGGGGAGGGACAGTCACCAGTGCCATCCCTGACTGGTGGGACCTGCTGGAGCAGTTCTGGAGAAGAATCTGGGGTTGCTGGTGGGTGAGCTGTGAAGCTGGCCATGTGGCCTGAGGCCAGGAGGGATCCAGGGGGTATCAGGAGGGGTGAGGCCAGGAAGTCAGGCAGTGACCGTGCCCCTCTGTCCTTCCCAGTGAGGCACATCAGGAGTGCTGTGTCCATCTCTGTCCAGTGCGGTGTCCCTTTCTGGGTTGCTCTGGTTTCCAATTCAGGTCTCAGGGATGATGCTGCCTGAGCTGGGAGGTTGGGTCAGGTGCCCACTCTGGGTCCTTCCAGCCTGACCCATGCTGGGATTTGGGGATTCTGGCAGTTGTGGTTCAGGAATTGTCCACAGGAGGGCAGCAGCGAGCGTGGGAATTCAGTTGCACTGTGCAGTTCCGGGTGCCAACAGCAGGCGGCAGCACGAGCTGCTGGCGCTGCCGAGCGCCCGCCCCGCCCCATCCCAGCCCCGGGGGATCTGCAATGGTTTGGGATGGAGCGACCTTAAAGCCTGTCCGGTGCCAGCCCTGCCATGGGCAGGGACACCTTCCCGTGGGCCAGGCTGCTCCAGGCACTTCCCAATGTGGCCTGCAACCCTTCCAGGAGTGGGGCAGCTACAGCTTTGTTATAGATGGATAACATGATGGTTGGGTCTCACAATTAAGGGATGAATATTGTGTGTATGTTAAGAGAAATTTTCTTGATGCGTGGTTATGTTATTGTTGTTTGTTGTTTGGGTACTCTCTCCTCTCCCCATAATCCCATTCCCATCTCCCATATTGTTGCCACCAGATGGCCCTGGTTGTCAGCATGTCAGGGACATGTTTAGGGAGGGCACGTACCTGTGCCCCTTGCATGGGACGGTTGGGGAATGGGAATGCCCGTTGCTGGGGAGGCATGGCATGACAACACCTCACCTCCAATCACACAGCAGGAAGGTCTCCACCAATGGACATCAAGGAAGAGTCAAATGGCCGACTTTGGTAGGGGCCAGGGACTTATAAGGAAAATGTTTGAATATGTATGACTCCTTAGGAATATGCATTTGGTTGATGCAACACCAGGGGTATAAAAGGCAGAGCCGCCATTTTGTGGCACTTGGCCACACTCCCAGCACTGTCCCTCTTTCCTTATTCAGTCCCTTTGTTATGTTGTTGAGGTTTAATAAACCTTTAAAAATTTAAAATGAGCGGTCGTTTCTCACAGTCACTGTGGTTTCCATTACCACCAAGGCCACCATGACCCCCAGAAAAGAGAGGTCATCAAGGTGCCATGGCCACCCCCTGACATTATGCCTGGAGGAAAAGAGAAAAACAGGAAAAGAGAATGGAAGAGAAATCAAATCTCTCAGCTTTTTGCAAATATTAAGATGAATGCTACATGTATATGTTCAAATATCTTTGCTTTTATTTCTGCTATTAACAAAAGGTTGGACATAGTAGTAGTGGTAGCTGATATTGTTACCAGTGAACTGTCTGTTTGGTCGGGATAACATCCAGTGAACATGTCATGAGGACCCTGCTGTTGAAATGCCAACTTTCAGCGTCTGCTGTCTGAAGAAAGTATGGACCAAGGCCCAGACTGGAAGTGATAAAGAGAAGGAGCCAAAACTGCAGCCAAGAAGCAGGCATGCTCTAAAAAAGGCTGACCCAAGGAAGGGCCATGTTAAATAGTTCCTGGAATATGGAAACTAGTTTATGGAAATATCTGGATATGCATAACGGTCTAGGAATATGCAATCCCAGTCCCATGTCCCTCCACAAGTGTCCCCTGGAGTCCCCCCAGCCACTGATACCGAAATCAGCCAGAGTGAACTCCCTGATGGAACTGGAAGTAGCAGAAAGCTGGAATTCTTTATCAGCTCGGACTCAGAGCAGATCTCTCCTGGTCCTGCACATCAGGGGGGACTTTGCCAAGAGAATCCTAAATATACATATTCATTAAAATTAAAATTAAAATGAAAATGGCTGCTTAGCTAGTACAGAGTGAGCACTCAAAGTGGCTGAGGGCCGGCAATGCTGCGGTCATGGTGTGGCCACAGCTCCAGTACTGGTCATCAAAGGAGTCCTGAGCCATGTCCAGGGGCACCACCTTGATGGCTGCAGTGGTCACAGTCATTGCCAGCAGTGCCAGGGTCAGAGCCAGGAGGGCCATGGTGGGGAGAGGCCACTGGGGAACAAAGTGGGACACACTGAGGGAACAGTGAGGGCAGAAAGGGTACATGGGGAGGGCTCCTCTGTGAGGGGCTCAGCATGGCCCCAGAGTTCCAACCAGATGAACTTCAGAACAGTGGCCATTTATTCTCATTTCCTAGGAGGCCTTGGGCATCATCCTTTTGTTCTCCTATGCAGTGAGACTCTTTATCTGTGACACGATTGTATTTAGTAAGTTTTTATTGATTCTGATCTGTGCTCCATATATTTTATCCTGCATTTAGCAGATAACCAGTAACAGCCTTAATAAGATAATAGCCTTACAGGTGAGAGCTGCTTTAACATCTATGCCTTGCATATGGAACAAAAAAGGGGGGAGATGCAGAAGACCAGACCACTACAGAAGCTCAGCTGGGGAGCTCTGCAGACCTTGCGGCCCAGGTACAGTTAAAACCATGCAAGAGAAAAACTCAAGGCAAGATAAGAAGTGAAGACATCATGTCTGATCACTCTGACCCCCTGAGACTGACCACTCTGACCAGAGAAGAGATGACAACCATGTTACTGGTGAAAGAGATAACAAGGACATTACCAGTGTAAGAAGGATAATGGAGAATATTGTGTTTCTAAGGGGACTGGGGCAAAGGGGTCCAAGCAGAACATTTCATACAAACATAGTGAGCTATAAATCCTGGTAAACTGGTGCAATAAATGGCTTTGCTTTGCTGGCATTGCAGAGTCCATGTCTCTCAATCCCTGCACACCAGCTGCTCAGTCTCAATCCCCATCCTGTGTTTACACTTCCAGTGTCCCCCTGGTGCTCCCCAGGATCTCATTTCTGCTCCCAGACCTTTGTAGCCCTCTTGTGACCCCAGGTTGCTCAGGAACCTCACCCAAATTCCTTAAGCCACTCCTCACCCCCCGCCCCGCTCTGCCTTGGTCCTCTCCCAGAGCCCAGTCCCGCTCCCAATCCTGTTACCCATTTCACCTCACCCCAGGACCCCAACCCAAGATCCGGGATCAACCCCTGACCCTGCAATGTCAGCCTGGAGCCTCCATGCCCCCACTCTACAATCCCAGTCCCATGTCCCTCCACAAGTGTCCCCTGGAGTCCCCCCAGGCTTTGATATTGAAAGTGAACTCCCTGATGGAACTGGAGGTAGCAGAAAGCCAGAATTCTTGATCAGCTCAGATTCACAGCAGATCTCTCCTGGTCGTGCTGCTCAGGGGGCACTTTGTCAACAGAATCTATCCATCCTAATTATACATATTCATTAAATGGGGCTGCTTAGCTAGTACAGAGCCAGCACTTCTCCCATTAATAATTGGCAGGGCTCTGCCTCCCCCAGGAAATAATTTTTATTGTCTTGGAGAGTCATAAAAATGGGATTTCTGGGTGTAGTTTTATCTGAGTGCCTCAATATCTCAGATGGCCTTGCCTCAGACTTTCACTTTGGGCTGGCACTGCTCCTTCTGTGTTACAGAACTTGCCAAAAAACCCCTCACTGCAGTTCCCTTATCTGTTTCTCCACACGTTCCAGCCACCTTTGCCCTGCTGTGTCCTCACTTTTACATCCTTTTATGGTTTTTTACTCATTCATCTTTAAGCTCTATCCAGCACCTTCAAGAGAACTCAAACTTTCTATTCTCTTTCTTATATCTCACCCCCTATGACCCCAATCCCACAGTCCCATGTCACCCCAGCTCCTCCCAGTCCCACTCCCCACTGCTCACTGAGTTGCTGCCACACCTCAGGTACCAGTTGGGATCCCCTATCAGATGCCATCCCTGCAGGCACCTTGAGCCTGGGGATGATCTCTTGGGGGAGTGCCTGGGTGACTCCCTTGGCCTTGTTGGTGTGACAGGACAAGTTCTGGAGCCACCAAAAGGAATCCACCAACACCAGCAGATACCTGAGCCCATGTTGCCATGGTTGCTCAGAAAATCCATTTGCCATTTATCATTGGGAGTGTTTCCACTTTCAGTGATGACTGGAGGGGTTGGTTTTGACTTCAAAGGGTTCTTTTGGAAAACATACCAGGCATTGCTCTGTAACAGACCTGACAGTTTCGTCCTAAGGACACCGAGGATCTGAGGCGACAGACCTGTCCCCACCACATCAATTCTCCAGAGCTTTGCTGGTGCTTTTGGGCAGCTGGGTGGTAGCCAGGACACCCAGGGCCTGCTGCTTTTGTTGTTACACAAAAATCTCCAAGGAGAGGAAATCCCATAGGAAATGTGGACCACAGGGCCATCTTTGAGTTACAGAATGTGTGTCCTTCCTTAGGAGTCCAAATTGAAGGTCATTCTGGGGCCTGCTTTGTGGGGGAGACTTCACAAGATCTGTGGGGTGCTCTTCAAAACAACTCAACATCAGCCAGGATTGACTCAGATGCCTGTGGGCCAGAGCAGAGACTGCTCTCCTCATCCAAGAGGCCAGGAAATCCAATCTGGGACAAAAGGTTATGATATATACTCTGCTCACCATGGAAGAAGATGTGGAACAAGGGGCAGAACTCGATGTGTTACAAAGAGCTCAGGTAGTGTGAGAAAAAGCGCAAGCATAGGAACTCACTTGACATCTGCTTTGAGCATTCCTCATGTCCATGGACCCATACGCAGAGAAAAAAGTCAATTAACACTACAGGGATCTGCAATTAAATATAAACAAGAATTATTGCCCCTCCTGGATTCCTCCCAGCTGCACAAAGAAGTGGCCGTACTACAATACAGGGTGCACCAGCCTGGGGATTGACAAATCCCTGTGGGAATAAGACTTGCAATAAAGCTGCATGAGAGGTTCCACAACAAAGCATCCTGCTGTTAATTCCCAAGAAAGGAATTTCACTGCCAGAGGTGAGGCTTGGAGAGAGTTGAGCAGATTGAAAATTGGCAGCTTATGTAAAAGCCCACAATAAAGAGGGTGGCTGGGTTGGTGAGAGGTAACTCCCAATAACCAGGTCAGACCCTCCCCAGCTGCTGCTGCAATTTGTAAAGGAGAAAAGCACCAGCAAAGCTCTGGGGAATCCATGAGATGGGGTCCCGTGTGTGGCCTCAGATCCTCAGTGTCCTTAGGACAAATCTGTCAGGTCTGTTACAGAGCAATGCCTGGGACGTTTTCAAAAACCCCTTTGAATTGAAAACCATCACCTCCAGGCTTCACTGGAAGAGGAAACACTCCTGGGGATTACTGGCAAATTTTCTGACCTACCATGCCTACATGGGCTCAGGTATCTCCTGGTGTTGCTGGATCACTTCTTGGGGGTCCAGAACTTCTCCTGCCACAACAGCAAGGCCAGAGAAGTCACCCAGGCACTCCCCCAAGAGATCATCCCCAGGCTCAAGGTGCCTGCAGGGATGGCATCTGATAGGGGAGCCCAACTGGTATCTGAGGTGTGGCAGCAACTCAGTGAGCAGTGGGGAGTGGGACTGGGGGAAACTCGGGGGACAAGGGATGGTGGGATTGGGGTTGTGGGGGCTGAGCAATAAGAGAGAATAGAAAGTTTCAGATCCCCAGGAGAGGATGGATAAGGCTTTAAGAAGAACTAGCAAAAAATAATAAAAGAATGTAAAAGTGAGGGCGCGGAAGGGCAAAGGTTGCTGGAACCTGTGGAGAAAGAGATAAAGGGAGCTGCAGTGAGGAGATTTTGGCAAGATCTGTAACACAGCAGGTGCAATGCCTGCAAAAGTGAAAGTTTGAGGCAAGGTCATCTGGCATATTGGGGCACTTAGTGAATCCCACAACCTGACACCCCCGTTTATGACCCTCCAGGTCAATAAAAATTATTTCCCAAAAGAGGCAGAGCCCTGCCAATTATTTATGGGAAATGTGCTGGTTTTGTATTAGCTAAGAAGCCCATTTTGATAAATATGTATAATTAGGACGGATAGATTTTTTGTGGCAAAGTCCCCCCTAATGTGCAGGACCAGGAGAGATCTGCTCTGAGTCCGAGCTGATAAAGAATTCTGGCTTTCTGCTACCTCCAGTTCCATCAGGGAGTTCACTCTGGCTGATTTCGGAATCAGTGGCTGGGGTGACTCTAGGGGACACTTGTGGAGGGACATGGGACTGGGATTGCATATTCCTAGACTGTTATGCATATCCAGATATTTCCATAAACTAGTTTCTATATTCCAGGAACTATTTAACATGGCCCTTCCTTGGGTCAGCCTTTTTTAGAGCATGCCTGCTTCTTGGCTGCAGTTTTGGCTCCTTCTCTTTATCACTTCCAGTCTGGGCCTTGGTCCATACTTTCTTCGGACAGCAGACGCTGAAAGTTGGCATTTCAACAGCAGGGTCCTCATGACATGTTCACTGGATGTTATCCCGACCAAACAGACAGTTCACTGGTAACAATATCAGCTACCACTACTACTATGTCCAACCTTTTGTTAATAGCAGAAATAAAAGCAAAGATATTTGGACGTATACATGTAGCATTCATCTTAATATTTGCAAAAAGCTGAGAGATTTGATTTGTCTTCCATTCTCTTTTCCCGTTTTTCTCTTTTCCTCCAGGCATAATGTCAGGGGTGGCCATGGCACCTTGGTGACCTCTCTTTTCTGGGGGTCATGGTGGCCTTGGTGGTAATGGAAACCACAGTGACTGTGGGAAACGACCGCTCACTTTAAATTTTTAAAGGTTTATTAATCTGCAACAACACTTTAAGAGGACTGAATAAGGAAAAAGGCACAGTGCTGGGAGTGTGACCAACTGCCACAAAATGGTGGTTCTGCCTTTTATACCCCTGGTGTTGCATCAACCAAATACATATTCCTAAGGAGTCATACATATTCAAACATTTTCCTTGTAAGTCCCTTGCTCCTCCTGAAGTCGGCCAGTTGACTCTTCTTTGCTCTCCATTGGTGGAGACCTTCCTGCTGTGTGATTGGAGGTGAGGTGTTGTCATGCCATGCCTCCCGAGCAACAGGCATTCCCATTCCCCAACCGTCCCATGCAAGGGGCACAGGCACATGCCCTCCCTTAACATGTCCCTGACACGCTGACAACCAGGGCCATTTGGTGGCAACAATATGGGAGATGGGAAGGGGATTATGAGGAGAACAGAGAGTGCCCAAACAACAAACAACAATAACATAACCATGCATCAACAAAATTTCTTTTAGCATAGACACAGTATTCATCCCTTAATTGTGAGAGCCAATCATCATATTACCCATCTATAACAAAGCTGTGGCTGGCCCACTCCTGGAATGGTCCAAGGCCAGGATGGGCGGTGCCATGAAGAGCCTGGCCCAGGGGAAGATTTCCCTGCCCATGGCAGGGCTGGCACTGGACAGGCTTTAAGGTCGCTCCAGCCCAAACCATTGAAGAGCTCCCGGGGCCAGGATGGGGCGGGGCAGGCGCTGGGCAGCACCAGCAGCTCGTGCTGCCGCCTGCTGTTGGCACCCGGAACTGCACAGTGCAACTGATTTCCCACGCTCACTGCTGCCCTCCGGTGGACAATTCCTGAACTGCAACTGCCAGAATGCCCAAATCCCAGCATGGGTCAGGCTGGAAGGACCCAGAGTGGGCACCTGGCCCAACCTCCCAGCTCAGGCAGCGTCATCCCTGAGACCTGAATTGGAAACCAGAGCAGCCCAGAACTGGACACCGCACTGGACAGAGCTGGACACAGCACTCCTGATGTGCCTCAATGGGAAGGACAGAGGGGCACGGTCACTGCCTGACTTCCTGGCCTCACCCCTCCTGATACCCCCTGGATCCCTCCTGGCCCCAGGCCACATGGCCAGCTTCACAGCTCACCCACCAGCAACCCCAGATTCTTCTCCAGAACTGCTCCAGCAGGTCCCACCAGTCAGGGATGGCACTGGTGACCGGCCCTCCCCAGGGACAGGACCTGCCCTTGCCCTCTTCAACCTCCCAGTTTCCAGGCTTTAATGTTGCTCTAAACTGCGGGATGTGTCAGGATGCTCTGCCTGGAATGTGGCCAAGGGAAAATGCCCCATTTGCAGCCATCAGGGCTGCATTGGGAGAGGTCTGGTGCTGATTTTGGTGCAGAATTGGTCTAAAACCAGCCCAAATCACCAACTCTGAATTGGCAACTGAGGCTGAAGCACCAGAGCTGGGCCTGGCCATTCATCAGCTGACCCTGGCAATGTCCAGTCCCCTCTCAAACAGGGATTCCTCTCCCCTATTTCTTCTGAAAATGAAATGTCTTTGAGGTTCCTCTTTTGGGAAGGGGATGCTCCCATAGGATCCTCCTCTAGGCTGAGAGAAAGAGATGTTCTCATGATTGTTGGTGAGGGGAGTGACATCGAGCTCTGTTTAGGAATTTTCTCTCTTTGCTGGCTTTGTCACAATTATTTAATGGAGTTTTTTTGATAGATTTTTTATTAGAATTGCTTTGCACAATGGCCTTGGTGGCCACACTGGCCAGGGAGGCTGTGGTAGTCTTGGGGCTGAGGGAGTCTTGGTGATCATGGTGGTCACAGCTGCCACAGTGACCACAGTGACCTTGGTGACCTTGATGGCCTCATTGCTCAGAAAATCCTGGTGGTTACTGCCAAGGCTGCGGTGGCCAGGAGGAGTCTACTGAGGTGGAAAGGAGTCCTGGGGACACTCTAACCTGGGGGAAAAAGGGGTGAATCAGTGGGGCCATGGGGGTAGTGAGAGGGTCAGGGATAGCCATAATTGGGGATTAAGGGTGACAGGAGAGCTGGGGGCATGAGTGTGACAGGTGACAGGGTGTTGGGAGGGGCACAGTGGGGGGTTCAGGGGCCAGGGAGACCGGGGAGTCATGGTGGGCTTAGAGGTGACCGTGTGTCAGGGGTATTCAGGGATTGCCATGAGGAGTTTCAGGGGGTTACAGGGTTTCAGGGAGTGCCATGTGGAGGTCCTGGCCCACCCATGTTCTGCACACAGGGCCCATCCCCAGAGCACTGCCTTTATCAGAGAGGGACAGGGTTGGTACACTGTGGAGGTCCCTGTCTCTCTCCCTTGTCCCCGGGCATGGGTGTTCCTGTCCCTGTTCCCTCCCAGAAGTGGGGGTCCCTATCCCTGTTCCCTGTCATGGATGTTCCTGTCCCTGTGCCCACAATGGATGACCCCAGAATAGGTGCCCCCAGCCCAGGGTATCCTTGTCACCCCACACACTGTGAGTGTCCCTGTCCCCCATCCCCAGTCAGTGTCAATGTCCCCTGTGCCTTATCATGGCTGTCCCCATCCCCCCTGGCTGTCCTCTGTGTTGTTACCTTGCAGCCACTCGCAGTTGTATTTGCTGTAGGTTCCGGCGGACTGGAGCTGGATCTGTGTCTTGTCCCCTTCCTGAGTGTATTGGGTGACATTGAAGGTCTCAAAGGGTGGGATCAGCACGATTTTAGGTTCCGGATGTTCGCTAAAAGGCGTGACATCCACGCCATGGCACGTGTGCACCTCGAGCATTGTCTCACCGGGGCACTCGCCAATTTGTTTGCTTGGGAACATTGGCACGAATAGACCAAACCGGATGGTGTCACCACGCTGTGCCTCAAACCGGGTGCCACACACCATGAGGAACGCGTCCCGACACTGCCCGTTCTGAGCGTCCCTCAGCGTGGCCAGGGCATCGGTCAGCAGGAAATGTAGCGTTTTGAAGTGGAAGTTGTCTCGGTATTCCTGGCGGGAATGCCCGACCACGCGCAGGGCATCATTGAATTTTCTGGGGTCAGTCATTGTGAAGGCCATGATGGCGGTGGCCTGGTCTGGGGACAGAGGGGACTCAGGGGGGCCCCGACTCTGCCACTCAGCTGCAGCCTTTACCCAAACCTCAGCAAACTCCTTGTTCTGCTCAAACTCGGAGCTGTTGAGGGCCGGCAATGCCTCCTTCATGGCAGGGCCGCAGCCCCGGTACTGGTCATCAAAGGAGTCTGGGGCCATGTCCAGGGGGAACACATCGACAGCCGTGGTGGCCATGGCCATTGCCAGCAGTGCCAGGGTCTGAGCCAGGGGGGCCATGGCAGGGAAAGGCCACAGGGACCGGTGTGGACTCTGGAGGACACAGAGGGGACACAGGGGAGATACGGGGAGGGTTCATCAGTGAGGGACTGGGCAAGGGAGTGGGGTCAGCAGGGGAGTGGGGTCAGGGGGAAGGGAGGCACTCCTACCCAGCCGACCCCTGCACATGTCTGAGTTCCCTGACCCCAAATTCTGGAATTACTTATGCCTCCCCAATTTCCCCCAGCCCCAGGGTCCCCAGTCTACAGCACCATCGCCCCCAGAAGCCCAATCCTACTCCCATGACTACAAGTCCCCCGACCCCAGCAGGATCCCAACCCAAATCCTGGGGTCACTCCCTGAGATCCTCAGTGTCCCTCTCAGTTGGTCCCCAGACCCCACTCCTACTCCCATTCCCCAGTTCCTTTGGTATCACCCCAGGACATCAACCCAAATCCAGGCATCACCCTCTGCCCGCACAGTGTCTCCCAGCCCCCCATCACCCCAATCCCACTCTCACCATCCTGTGCCCCCCCTCTTTTTCCCCCAGAACCCCCAATGACCCCAATCCCAGACCTGTGATTCCCTCAGTGTCCCCCCATGTCCGCAATCCCATTCCCTCAATCCCGTGTCCCCCCAAAGGGTCCCCCCAGTGTCCCCCCAGCCCCGTTACCAAAATCAACTGGAGTGAACTCCTGGATGGATCTGGAGATCGCAGAAAGCTGGAATTCCTTATCAGCTCAGACTCACAGCAGATCTCCTGCACATCAGGGGCGATTTGCCATGGGGTATTTATCCACCATATTTATAAATATTGATGAAAATGTCTCCCTTAGCAAGTACAGAATCTGTACTTTTCCCGTAAATCATTTACATTGATCCACCTCCTCCTACAAGTCTTTTATTGTCCTGCAGAGTCGTAAAAATGGGGCTTCTGGGGATCATTTTCACCAAATACTTTGATAGCAAAAGCACTTTTCCTGGAATAATTTCTTTGCACAGGTGCTGTCGTTTCCTGTTAGAGAACTTGCCAAAACCCCACTGGAGTTCCCTTTGTCTGTTTCTCCATGGGTTCTAGCCGTGATTTTCATCTTGTATGCAAACCTCTCCATCCTTTTATCATTTCTGCCAGTTTGTCTTCAGATCCTTTTCAGCACCTTCAGGGGAAGGGCAAATTTCCATTCTCTGTGTTATTTGTCACTTTGTGACAGAAATGCTCCACTGTGGTCATCATCCATGCTGCCATCCAGGATCTCCAGGTCTTTCCTGTCCTAAGGAGCCAAGAATGGGAAAGAGCACTGGACAGAGCTGGACACTGGGCAGAGGTGGACACAGCCCTGAGCAGAGCTGGAAATGGCGCTGAACAGAGTTGGGCACAGCCCTCCTGATGTGCCTCACTGGCCAGGGAGAGGGGCACGATCACTCCCTGACTTCCTGGCCCTGATCCTCTGAGTGCCCCCCAGATCTCTCCTGGCTCCAGGCCACATGGCCAGCTCCACTGGTCACCCAGCAGCACCTCCAGGTCATTCCCCAGAGCTGCTCCAGCAGGTCCCCACCAGCCACGCAAGGCACTGGTGCAAAATTGGGCTAAAACCAGCCAAAATCACCAACCCTGAACTGACAAATGCTCGAAAAGTACCAGAGCTGGGCCTGGCCATCCATCAGCTGACCCTGGCAATGCCCAGTCCCCTCTCAGGCAGAAATTCCTCTCCCCTATTCATACTTGGGATGAAATGTCTCCGAGGTTCCTCCCTCGGGAAGGGGACACTCCCCAAGCATCCTCCTGAAAGCTGTGAGAAAGAGATGTTCCCACAAGTCTTGTCATGGAGAGTGACATTGAGCCCTGTTTGGGAATTGTCACATTTGACTGGCTCTGTCAGAATTACTTCATGGAATCATTTTCCTAGAATTATTTAATGGAGTTGTTTTGATAGAATCATGTAGTAGATTTGATTTGACAGAATAATTTACTAGAATGTGAATTGACCAAACCAGACCCTCTGGTCACACCATGCCTGGAACCGGACATCATGCACACCCTGGAACACGTGGTGACACTGCCCATTCTGAGCTTGCCTCAGTGTCACCAGGGCCTGGGTCAGCAGGAAATGCAGCGTTTTGAAGTGGAAGTTGTTCCGGTATTCATGGCGGGAGCGCTCGGCTGCACACACGGCTGCATTGAACTCCTTGTAAATGTCCTTTGTTGTGTAGGCCACGAGAGCAACGGCCTGGGCTGGAGATGCCAGAGGGGACACAGGGGGAGCCCCGCTTGTGCCACTCAGCCTCAGCCTTCACCCAGGTCTGGGTGGAGAGAGGATTCACCTGGAACTCAGAGTGGCTGAGGGCCGGCAATGCCAGGATCACGGCAGGCCTGCAGCCACCCCGATACTGGTCATGAAAGGAGTCCTGGGCCATGTCCAGGGGCAGCACCTTCATGGCTGCAGTGGTCACAGTCATTGCCAGCAGTGCCAGGGTGAGAGCCAGGAGGGCCATGGCAGGGAAGTTACTTGGAGCAATGTGGGACACTGGGGGACAAAGTGGGCCACACTGAGGGGTCACTGAGGACACACGGGGGTACATGGGAAGGGCTCCTCTGTGAGGGGCTCAGCATGGCCCCTGAGCTCCAACCAGATGAACTTTAGAACAGTGGCCATTTATCCTCATTTCCTAGGAGGCCTTGGATATTATCCTTTTGTTCTCCTATGCAGTGAGACTCTTTATCAGGGTCAAGGTTGTATCTGGTAAGTTTTTCTTGATTGTGATCTGTGCTCCATATATTTTATCCTGTATTTAGTAGATAACCAGTAATAGTATTAATAAGATAATAGGCTTACAGGTGGGAACTGCTTTAACATCAAGGTACAGGAACTCTTTGCATAAAGAACTGAGAAGGGGAAGATGTGGAAGACCAGACCGCTACAGAAGCTCAGCTGGGGAGCATGGCAGACCTTGTGGCCCTGGTAGAGTGAAGACTGTGGGAGAGAAAACTCAAGGCAAGAACAGAAGTGATGACGTCATGTCTGATCACTCTGCCCATCATGTCTGGACACTTCTGACCATCACGATGAGCACTCTGGCCAGAGAAGAGATGACAGGGATGTTGCTGGTGAAAGAGATAACAAGGACATTACCAGTGTAAGAAGGATAATGGAGAATATTGTGTTTCTAAGGGGACTGGGGAAAGGGGTCCAAGTAGAAAACTTCGTACAAACATGGTGAGCTATAAATCCTGGTAAACTGGTGCAATAAATGGCTTTGCTTTGCTGGCATTGCAGAGTCCGTGTCTCTCAATCCCCGCACACCAGCTGCCCAGTCCCAATCCCAATCCTGTGTTTACTCTTCCAATGTCCCCCTGGTGCTCCCCAGGATCTCATTTCTGCTCCCAGATTTTGTAGCCCTCTTGTGACGCCAGGCTGCTCAGGAACCTCACCCAAATTCCTTAAGCCACTCCTCACCCCCTCCTGCCCAAGTCCACCTTGGCCCTCTCCCAGACCCCAGTCCCACTCCCAGTCCCATTAACAATTTCATGTCATCCCAGGACCCCAACTCAAATTTGTGGATGAACCCCTGACCCTACAAGGTCAGCCTGGAGACCTTCCTGCCCCCCATTCCACAACTGCAACACACAACCCCAGTCCCATGTCCCTCCACACGTGTCCCCTGGAGTGCCCCACAACCACCAATATCGAAACCGGCCAGAGTGAACTCCCTGATGGAAATGGAGGGAGCAGAAAGAAGGAATTCTTTTTTAGCTCAGACTCACAGCAGATTTCTCCTGGTCCTGCATATCAGGGGGGACCTTGTCAACAGAATCTATCCATCTTAATTATACATATTCATCAAAATGGGCTTCGTGGCTAATACAAAACCAGCACATTTCCCGTAAATAATTTGCATGGTTCTGCCTCTTTTGTGAAATAATTTTTATTGCCCTGGAGGGTCATAAAATTGGTCCGTTCGTATGTTAGGGTTTCACTAAGTGCCCCAATATTCCAGATGACCTTGCTTCAAACTTTCGTTTTTGCAGGCACTGCTCCTTCTGTGTTACAGATCTTGCCAAAAAGCCCTCACTGGAGTGCCCTTTCTCTCTTTCTCCACAGGTTCCAGTAACCTTTGCTCTTCTGTGTGCACATTTTTACATCCTTTTACTCTTTTTTGCTAGTTCTTCTTAAAGCCCTATCCAGCACCTTAAAAAGAACTTAAACTTTCTATTCTCTCTCTTACTGCTCAGCCCCCACAACCCCAATCTCACTGTTCCATGTCCACACAAAGCCACCCAGTCCCACTCCCCACTGCTCACTGAGTTGCGGCCACCCCTCAGGTACCAGTTGGGGTCCCCTATCAGATGACAGCCCTGTAGGCACCTTGAGCCTGGGGATGATCTCTTGTGGGAATGCCTGGGTGACTTCCCTGGCCTTGCTGGTGTGGCAGGACAAGCTCTGGATCCCAAAATGGATCCATCAATACCAGGAGATACCTGAGCCTATGTTGGCATGGTAGCTCAGAAAATCCATTTGCCAGTAATCCCCAGGAGTGTTTCCTCTTTCAGTGATGCCTGGAGGTGATGGTTTTGAATTCAAAGGGTTCTTTTGAAGATATATCAGGCATTCCTCTGTAACAGACCTGACAGTTTTGTCCTATGAACACTGAGGCCACAGAACGGTCCCCATCTCATTGGTTCCCCAGAGCTTTGCTGGTGCTTTTCTCCTTTACAAATTGCAGCATCCACTGGGGTGGGCCTGACCTGGTTATTGGGAGTTACCTCTCACCCACCCAGCCAGCCACCCTCTTTATTGTGGGCTGTTAGATAAGCTGCCAATTTTCAATCTGCCCAACTCTCTCCAGGCCTCACCTCTGGGGCTGAAATTCCTTTCTCAGGAATTAACACCAGGATGCTTTGTTGTGGAACCTCTCATGCAGTTTTATTGCAAGTCTATTTCCCACAGGGATTTGTCAATCCCCAAGCTGGTGTGCCCTGGATTGTTGTATGGCCATTTTTTGGGAAGCTGGGTTGAATCAAGGGGGGACAATAATTCTTGTTTATATTTAATTTGAGGTCCCTGTGCTGTTAATTGATTTCTTTCTTTGCATATGGCTCCATGGGCATGAGGAATGCACAAAGCAGATGTGAAGTGAGTTCCTATGCTTGCTCTTTTTCTCACAATTCCTGATCTCTTTGTAACACATCGAGTTCCGCCCCTTGTTCCACATCTTCTTCCATGGTGAGCAGAGTATATATCATAACCTTTTGTCCCAGATTGGATTTCCTGGCCTCTTGGATGAGGAGAGCAGTCTCTGCTCTGGCCCACAGGCATCTGAGCCAATCCTGGCTGATGTTGAGTTGTTTTGAAGAGCACCCCACAGATCTTGTGAAGTCTCCCCCACAAAGCAGGCCCCAGAATGACCTTCAATTTGGACTCCTAAGGAAGGACACACATTCTGTAACTCAAAGATGGCCCTGTGGTCCACATTTCCCATGGGATTGCCTCTCCTTGGAGATTTTTGTGTAACAACAAAAGCAGCAGGCCTTGGGTGTCCTGGTTACCACACAGCTGCCCAAAGACATGGCCATACAACAATCCAGGGCACACCAGCTTGGGGATTGACAAATCCCTGTGGGAAATAGACTTGCAATAAATCTGCATGAGAGGTTCTGCAACAAAGCCTGCTGGTGTTAATTCCTGAGAAAGGAATTTCAGCCCCAGAGGTGAGGCCTGGAGAGAGTTGGGCAGATTGAAAATTGGCAGCTTATCTAACAGCCCACAATAAAGAGGGTGGCTGGCTGGGTGGGTGAGAGGTAACTCCCAATAACCAGGTCAGGCCCACCCCAGTGGATGCTGCAATTTGTAAAGGAGAAAAGCACCAGCAAAGCTCTGGGGAACCAATGAGATGGGGACCGTTCTGTGGCCTCAGTGTTCATAGGACAAAACTGTCAGGTCTGTTACAGAGCAATCGCTAATATATTTTTAAAAGAACCTTTTGAATTCAAAACCATCACCTCCAGGCATCACTGAAAGAGGAAACGCTCCTGGGGATTACTGGCAAATGGTTTTTCTGAGCTACCACGCCAACATAAGCTCAGGTATCTCCTGGTATTGATGGATCCATTTTGGGATCCAGAGCTTGTCCTGCCACACCAGCAAGGCCAGGGAAGTCACCCAGGTGCTCCTCCAAGAGATCATCCCCAGGCTCAAGGTGTCTGCAGGGATGGCATCTGATAGGGGACCCCAAGTGGTATCTGAGATGTGGCAGCAACTCAGTGAGCAGTGGGGAGTGGGACTGGGTGGCATTGTGGGGACATGGGACGGTGTGACTGTGGGATTGGGGTTGTGGGGGCTGAGCAGTAAGAGAGAGAATAGAAAGTTTGAGTTCTCCTGAAGGTGCTGCATAGGGCTTTAAGAAGAACAAATAAAAAATTGTAAAAGAATGTAAAAATGTGCACAGAGAAGAGCAAAGGTTACTGGAACCTGTGGAGAAAGAGATAAAGGGAAATCCAGTGAGGCATTTTTTGCAAGATCTGTAACACAGAAGGAGCAGTGCCTGCAAAAATGAAAGTTTGAGACAAGGTCATCTGAGATGTTGGGGCACTTTGTGAAACCCACATCCTGACACCCCATTTTTATGACTCTCTAGGACAATAAAAATTACTTCCCCAAATTACCAGGCCCATGCCAATTATTTACGGGAAATGTGCTGGTTTTGTATTAGCCACGAAGCCCATTTTGATGAATATTTATAATTAAGAGGGATAGATTATCTGTGGTAAAGTCCCCCCTGATATGCAGGACCAGGAGAGATCTGCTGTGAGTCTGAGCTAAACAAGAATTCCATCTTTCTGCTCCCTCCAGTTCCATCAGGGAGTTCACTCTGGCTGGTTTCGATATCGGTGGTTGTGGGGCACTCCAGGGGACACGTGTGGAGGGACATGGGACTGGGGTTGTGTGTTGCAGTTGTGGAATGGGGGGCAGGAAGGTCTCCAGGCTGACCTTGTAGGGTCAGGGGTTCATCCACAAATTTGAGTTGGGGTCCTGGGATGACATGAAACTGTTAATGGGACTGGGAGTGGGACTGGGGTCTGGGAGAGGGCCAAGGTGGACTTGGGCAGGGGCGGTGACAGAGTGGCTTAAGGAATTTGGGTGAGGTTCCTGGGCGGCCTGGGGTCACAAGAGGGCTACAAAGGTCTGGAAGCCGAAATGAGATCCTGGGGAGCACCAGGGGGACATTGGAAGGGTAAACACAGGATTGGGTTTGGGACTGGGCAGCTGTTGTGCGGGGATTGAGAGACATGGACTCTGCAATGCCATCAAAGCAAAGCCATTTATTGCACCAGTTTACCAGGATTTATAGCTCACTATGTTTGTACAGAGTTTTCTACTCGGACTCCTGTGCGGCAGTCCCCTTAGAAACACAATATTCTCCATTATCCTTCTTACACTGGTAATGTCCTTGTTATCTCTTTCACCAGCAACATGGCTGTCATCTCTTCTCTGGCCAGAGTGCTCAGCGTGATGGTCAGAAGTGTCCAGACATGATGGGCAGAGTCATCAGACATGACGTCATCACTTCTGTACTTGCCTGGAGTCTTTCTCTCCCACAGTCTTCACTCTACCAGGGCCTCAAGGTCTGCCATGCTCCCCAGCTGAGCTTCTGTAGCGGTCTGGTCTTCCACATCTTCCCCTTCTCGGTTCTTTATGCAAAGAGTTTGTGTACCTTGGTGTTAAAGCAGTTCACACCTGTAAGCCTATTATCTTATTAACACTATTACTGGTTATCTGCTAACTACAGGATAAAATATATGGAGCACAGATCACAATCAAGAAAAACTTACCAGATACAACCTTGACCCTGATAAAGAGTCTCATTGCATAGGATTACAAAAGGATAATATCCAAGGCCTCCTAGGAAATGAGGATAAATGGCCACTGTTCTAAAGTTCATCTGGTTGGAGCTCAGGGGCCATGCTGAGCCCCTCACAGAGGAGCCCTTCCCATGTAGCCCCGTGTGTCCTCAGTGTCCCCTCAGTGTGTCCCACTTTGTCCCCCAGTGTCCCACACTGCTCCCAGTAACCTCCCTGCCATGGCCCTCCTGGCTCTCACCCTGGCACTGCTGGCAATGACTGTGACCACTGCAGCCATCAAGGTGGTGCCCCTGGACATGGCCCAGGACTCCTTTCATGACCAGTATCGGGGTGGCTGCAGGCCTGCCGTGATCGTGGCATTGCCGGCCCTCAGCCACTTTGAGTTCCAGGTGAATCCTCTGTGCACCCAGACCTGGGTGAAGGCCGAGGCTGAGTGGCACAAGCGGGGCTCCCCCTGTGTCCCCTCTGGCGTCCCCAGCCCAGGCCGTTGCTCTCGTGGCCTACACAACAAAGGACATTTACAAGGAGTTCAACGCAGCCGTGTGTGCGGCCGGGAGCTCCCGCCATGAATACCGGAACAACTTCCACTTCAAAACGCTGCATTTCCTGCTGACCCAGGCCCTGGGGACACTGAGGCATGCTCAGAATGGGCAGTGTCACCACGTGTTCCGGGGTGTGCATGGTGTCCGGTTCCAGGCACGGAGTGGCCAGAGGGTCTGGTTTGGTCAATTCACATTCTATTAAATTATTCTGACAAATCAAATCTATTACATGATTCTATCAAAACAACTCCATTAAATAATTCTTCCAAAACAATTCCATGAAGTAATTCTGACAGAGCCATTCAAAAGTGACAATTCCTACCCAGGGCTCAATGTCACTCTCCATGCCAACACTTGTGGGAACGTCTCTTTCTCTCAGCTTTCAGGAGGATGCTTGGGGAGCATCCCCTTCCTGATGGAGGAACCTTGGAGACATTCCATCCCAAGTATGAATAGGGGAGAGGAATTTCTGCCTGAGAGGGGACTGGACATTGCCAGGGTCAGCTGATGGATGGCCAGGGCCAGCTCTAGTACTTCAGCCTCAGTTGTCAGTTCAGAGTTGGTGATTTTGGCTGGTTTTAGTCCAATTTAGCCCCAGTGCCCTGCCTGGCTGGTGGGGACCTGCTGGAGCAGCTGTGGGGAATGACCTGGGGGTGCTGCTGGGTGACCAGTAGAGCTGGCCATGTGGCCTGGGGCCAGGAGAGATCTGGGGGGCACTCAGAGGAGTGAGGCCAGGAAGTCAGGGAGTGATCGTGCCCCTCTCCCTGGCCAGTGAGGCACATCAGGAGTGCTGTGCCCAACTCTGTTCAGCGCCATTTCCAGCTCTGCTCAGGGCTGTGTCCAGCTCTGCCCAGTGTCCAGCTCTGTCCAGCTCTGTGTGCAGCTCTGCCCAATGCCATGTCCAGTTCTGCCCAATGCTCTTTCCAGTTCTGGACAGTGCCATGTCCAGCTCTGCCCAGTGCCATGTCCAGTTCTGCCCAGTGCTCTTTCCTGTTCTGAGCTCCTCAGGACAGGAAAGACCTGGAGATCCTGGATGGCTGCATGGATGATGACCACAGTGGAGCATTTCTGTCACAAAGTGACAAATAACACAGAGAATGGAAATTTTCCCTTCCCCTGAAGGTTCTGGACAGACACTGAAGACAAACTGGCAGAAATGATAAAGGGTTGGAGAAGTGTGCACACAAGATGAAAATCACGGCTAGAACCCATGGAGAAACAGACAAAGGGAACTCCAGAGGGGTTTTGGCAAGTTCTGTACCAGGAAACAACAGCACCTGTGCAAAGAAATTGTTCCAGGAAAAAAGCCTTTGGTATCAAAGTATTTGGTGAAAATGTGCCCCAGAAGCCCCATTTTTACAACTCTCCAGGACAATAAAATGACTTGTAGGAGGAGGTCGATCAATGCAAATGATTTACGGGAAAAGTACAGATTCTGTACTAGCTAAGGGAGACATTTTCATGAATATTTATAAATATGGTGGATAAATACCCCATGGAAAAGTGCCCCCCTGATGTGCAGGACCAGGAGAGATCTGCTGCGAGTCTGAGCTGATAAGGAATTGCAGCTTTCTGCTACCTCCAGTTCCATCAGGGACTTCACTTCGGCTGATCTTGGTATTGGGGCTGGGGGGACACTGGGGGGACTCTTTGGGAGCACAGGGGATTGAGGGAATGGGATTGCAGACATGGGGGTATACTGAGGGAGTCACAGGTCTGGCATTGGGGTCATGGGGGGCTCTGGGCGAAAATGAGGGGGGACACAGGATGGTGAGAGTGTAGTGGGATTGGGGTGATGGGGAGGCTGGGAGACACTGTGGGGGCAGAGGGTGATGCCTGGATTTGGGTTGATGTCCTGGGGTGATACCAAAGGAACTGGGGAATGGGAGTAGGAGTGGGGTCTGGGGACCAACGGAGAGGGACACTGAGGGGCTCAGGGAGTGACCCCAGGATTTGGGTTGGGATTCTGCTGGGGTTGAGGGGACTTGTAGTCATGGGAGTAGGATTGGGCTTCTGGGGGTGATGGTACTGTGGGACTGGGGTCCCTGGGGCTGGGGGATGTTGGAGAGGCATAAGTAATCCCAGGATTTGGGGTCAGGGAACTCAGACATGTGCAGGGGTCGGCTGGGCAGGAGTGCCTCCCTTCCCCCTGACCCCACTCCCCTGCTGACCCCACTCCCCTCCCCAGTCCCTCACTGATGAACCCTCCCTGTGTCTCCCCCATGTCCCCTCTGTGTCCTCCAGAGTCCACACCGGTCCCTGTGGCCTTTCCCTGCCATGGCCCCCCTGGCTCAGACCCTGGCACTGCTGGCAATGGCCATGGCCACCACGGCTGTCAATGTGATCCCCCTGGACATGGCCCCAGACTCCTTTGATGACCAGTACCAGGGCTGCGGCCCTGCCATGAAGGAGGCATTGCCGGCCCTCAACAGCTCCGAGTTTGAGCAGAACAAGGAGTTTGCTGAGGTTTGGGTAAAGGCTGCAGCTGAGTGGCAGAGTCGGGGCCCCCCTGAATCCCCTCTGTCCCCAGACCAGGCCACCGCCATCATGGCCTTCACAATGACTGACCCCAGAATATTCAATGATGCCCTGCGTGTGGTCGGGCATTCCCGACAGGAGTACCGAGACAACTTCCACTTCAAAACGCTGCATTTCCTGCTGACTGATGCCCTGGCCACGCTGAGGGACGCTCAGAACGGACAGTGTCGGGACGCATTCCTGATGGTGTGTGGCACCCGGTTCGAGGCACAGCGTGGCAACACTGTCCGGTTCGGTCATTTCATGCCAGTGTTCCTGAGCAATCAAACTGGCGAGTGCTCCAACGCCACAATTCTCGAGGTGCACACATGCCATGGCGTGGATGTCACGCTTTTTAGCGAACATCCGGAACCTAAAATCGTGCTGATCCCACCATTTGAGACCTTCAATGTCACCCAATATGCCCAGGAAGGGGACAAGACACAGATCCAGCTCCAGTCCACTGGGACCTACAGCAAATACAACTGCGAGTGGCTGCAAGGTAACAACACAGGGGACAGCCAGGGGGGATGGGGACAGCCACGATAAGGCACAGGGGACAATGACACTGACTGGGGATGGGGGACAGGGACACTCACAGTGTGTGGGGTGACAAGGATACCCTGGGCTGGGGGCACCTATTCTGGGGTCATCCATTGTGGGCACAGGGACAGGAACACACATGACAGGGAACAGGGATAGGTACCCCCACTTCTGGGAGGGAACAGGGACAGGAACACCCATGCCAGGGGAAAAGGGACAGGGACAGGGACAGGGACCTCCACAGTGTACCAGCCCTGTCCCTCTCTGATAAAGGCAGTGCTCTGGGGATGGGCCCTGTGTGCAGAACATGGGTGGACCATGGCACTCCCTGAAACCCTGTAACCCCCTGTAACCGCCCATGGCCCTCCAAGCCCACCATGATTTCCCTGACCTCCCTGGCCCCTGTACCCCCCTGTGTCCCTCCCGAAGCCCTGTCACCTGTCACACTCATGCCCCCAGCTCTCCTGTCACCGTAATCCCCAATTATGGCTATCCCTGAGACCCTTACTACCCCCATGGCCCCACTGATTCTCCTCTTTTTCCCTCAGGTTAGAGTGTCCCCAGGACTCCTTTCCACCTCAGAGGACTCCTCCTGGCCACCACAGCCTTGGCAGTGGCCACCGGGATCCTCTGAGCAATGAGGCCATCAAGGTCACCAAGGTCACTGTGGTCACTGTGGCAGCTGTGGCCACCATGATCACCAAGACTCCCTCAGCCCCAAGACTACCACAGCCACCCTGGCCAGTGTGGCCACCAAGGCCATTGTGCAAAGCAATTCTAATAAAAAATCTATCAAAAAAACTCCATTAAATAATTGTGAAAAAGCCAGCAAAGAGAGAAAATTCCTAAAGAGGGCTCGATGTCACTCCCCACAGCAACAATCTTGGGAAGGTCTCTTTCTCTCAGCCTCAAGGAGGATCCTTGGGAAGAACCCCGTCCCTAGGGAAGATCCTCAGACACATTTCATTCCAAGCAGAATAGGGGAGAGGAATCCCTGTTTGAGACAGGATTGGATGTTCCCAGGGTCAGCTAATGGATGGCCAGGCGCAGCTCTGGTGTTATAGCCTCAGTTGTCAATTTGAAATTGGTGATTTGGGCTGGTTTTCACCAATTCAGCAACAAAATCTACACCAGACCCCTCTCAATGTTGCCATGATGGCCACAAGTGGGCATTGTCCCTAGGGCACATTCCAGGCAGAGCATCCAGACACATCCTGCACTTCAGGGGACCTTAAAGGCTGGAAACTGGGAGGTTCAAGAGGGCAAGGACAGATCCTGTCCCTGGGGAGGGACAGTCACCAGTGCCATCTTTGGCTGGGTGGGACCTGCTGGAGCAGTTCTGGAGAAGAATCTGGGGTTGCTGGTGGGTGACCATTGAAGCTGGCTGTGCTGCCTAGAGCCAGAATGGATTCAGGGGGTATCAGGAAGAGCAGGGGGAGGAGGTCAGGGAATGTTCATGTCCCTCTGCCCTGCCCAGGGAGGCATAAAAGGAATGCCGTGTCCAGCTCTGTCAGGTGCCGTGTCCATTCCTGGGCTCCTCTGCACCCAATCCTGTGCACAGGGATGACGCTGCCTGAGCTGGGAGGTTGGGCCAGGTGCCCACTCTGGGTCCTTCCAGCCTGACCCATGCTGGGATTTGGGGATTCTGGCAGTTGTGGTTCAGGAACTGTCCACTGGAGGGCAGCAGCCAGCACGGGAAATCAGCGTCACTGCGCATGCGCCGCCCCCAGCTGCAGTTCTGGGTGCCAACAGCAGGCGGCAGCACGAGCTGCTGGCGCTGCCGAGTGCCCGCCCCGCCCCATCCTGGCCCCGGGGGCTCTGCAATGGTTTGGGATGGAGCAACCTTAAAGCCCGTCCGGTGCCAGCCCTGCCATGGGCAGGGACATCTTCCCCTGGGCCAGGCTGCTCTAAGCCTCTTCCCAGTCTGGCCTTGAACCCTTCCAGGAGTGTGGCAGCCACAGCTTTGTTATAGATGGGTAACATTATATCTGACTCTCACAATTAAATGGTGAATATTGTGTGTATATTTAGAGAAATTTTGTTGACTTATGGTAATGTGATTGTAGTTTGGCTTTTGAACACCCTTTGCGCTCCACACTGTCCCCTTCACCCGCCTCCGTATTGTTCCCACTGGACGGCCCAGGTTCTCAGGGTTGTCAGGGACATGTGGGGGCCGGACATGAACCCGTGCCCCTGCCATTGGGCAATTGGGAATGGGGAAAATCTATTCCTGATGAGGTGTGTCATGCCTCACCTCACCTCACCTCACCTCACCTCACCTCACCTCACCTCACCTCACCTCACCTCACCTCTCCTCCAGTCAAGTTACAAGAAGGTCTGTACCAACGGACAGCGAGTCAGGATTGAATGGCAGACTTTGGCAGAGCCAGGTTTGGCTGATGCAACACTGGGGGTATAAAAGGCGAAGCCGCCGTTTTGTGGTAGAGACACTGGCAGTCGGCCATGGTCCCAGTGCTGCCTGTTTTCCTTATTCAGTCCTTTTATTGTGCTGTTGTGGTCTTATAAACCTTTAAAATTTTAATGTGAGCAGTTATTTCTCACACTCACCATGATCTCCATAATCACCATGACCACCATGACCCCCCAGAAAAATGTGGCCACCACGGCCACCACTGCCATTTTCCTTGGAGGAAAAAAGGGAAAAAGGGAAAAGAGTAGAGGAAGAGAAGAGGAAAAACAACAATCTTCCCCACCCCCTCTCTCCCCCAACATCTCCCTGACTGTCCTTTACTTCTTTAGGAATTCATTCATTTGCATTCTTGACCACATTCTGTGCTTTCCCACATATTCAGGAATTAAACCCAACCAAACTCTATTTCTGCACCACAATTAATTCAACCCTGAAAGGAATAAGAGGAATGTTTCTTTACAAACAGATTGTGTGGATCTTGTGGTAGATTGGGCCAGGGACTTGTAGATAAGGAAGTGACCGGAGAAACGATCAGTTTCAGAAAATGTTCCTCACTGACACGGACTGCTGCTCAGACAAGGTCCTGCAAAATTCCTGAACTTCAAGAAGAAGAAAAAAGACTTAACGGGCTTATGAATTTTAATTTCCGCACCCAGGGTGGAGTTAAATCTCATTTGAATGGTCACGTGTCTGTGTGATAGAAGAGTGGGCTGTGTAGCAAGGGGGATATTTTGTAGGTGGGTTTTGAAGTCTGCACCTTCTGAATACCTCCATGAATGGGGAAGGGGAGTGCACGGAAATTGGGATAAAAAGGAGGCTGCAATTTCCAGCAACTTGGTACACCCCATGGGGAAATTGCCCATGGCCTCTGTCCCAGGTTACAATAAAAAGATGTATTCTATTCCCATCCTCAAGAGCTGTCGAAACCAGGAGGGTCATTGTTTTTTCCTTATCTGCTGTTAATCAGCCCATCAATGTCTTGCCACATGACACAGAGATAACTCCCTCTAGGAGCCATTTCTGTTTAATGGGCAATCAAGGACCCACTGTATGACTCATTTGCATGATAACAGCGCATTGTGAGATGCTCTGCCCCGGAGGGAGGAGCTAAGAACCTCCACCTGGATATAATCTGGGTTTTGGGACAGAGCAGTCAGACTTTCCACTGTATTCCCAGAGAAACGGCCATCTTTTCCACTGGATCTTTGAGGAAGACTACATCCATCTACAGGATAACTGCTCCAACAGCACCACATCTGCCACTCCAAGAGGACTGCAGCCACCATTCGAACTGGACTGCTGCCAACACGCTGACCAACACGGTGTCAGGTCATACTCTTTGTCTGTGGTTTTTCTTTTGTATTATTGCATGTATTTTGGTTTTCCTTCTCCCTCTTCCCAATAAATTGCATTTGTGACTTGGAGCCTCTCACTGGTTTTGCTTTCAAACCAGAACAGCCTCTTCCTTTGATCATGAATGAAATTACAGGGCTCTTCTGTCGCCTTTCTGCAAGTAAACCTCTGGCAAGGTAAATTTTTCTGCTCAAAAGGTAGACAGCAGAAATGTTCCACTTGAATCCTAAGCGGTGTGCTTAGCTGCAGCCAGTCTCATCCACAAAATGGTGGCTCTGACCTTTATACCCCTGGTGTTGCATCAGCCAAATACATATCCATAAGCAGTCATATATATTCAAACATTTTTCTTCTAAATCCCTGGTCATTCCCAAAGTCTGCCACTTGATTCTTCCTTGCTGTCCATTGGTGGAGACCTTCCTGCAGTGTGATTGGAGGTGAGATGTTGCCGTGCCACTCCTCCGCAGCAACAGGCATTCCCCATTCCCAACCGCCCCGTGCAAGGGGCACGGGTACATGTCCCTGACAATCCTGACAACCACAGCTGTCCTGTACCAACTTATGGGGGAGGAGAGGGGGCGATGGGGATTACACAGGATGTCCAAACTACAAACTAAAATCACATAACCATACATCAACAAAACTTTTCTTAACATAAACACAATATTCATGCCTTAATTTTGAGAGCCAATCATCATCTTTCCCATCTGTACCAAAGCTGTGGCTCCCCAGTCCTGGAACAGTTCAAGGCCAGGTTGGGCAGGGCCATGAACAGCCCAGCCCAGGGGAAGGTGTCCCTGCCCATGGCAGGGCTGGCACCGGACGGGCTTTAAGGTCGCTCCTTCCCAAACCATTGCAGAGCCCCCGGGGCCGGGATGGGGCGGGGTGGGCGCTCGGCAGCGCCAGCAGCTCGTGCTGCCGCCTGCTGTTGGCACCCGGAACTGCAGCTGGGAGCGGCGCATGAGCAGTGACGCTGATTTCCCGCACTCGCTGCTGCCGCCCTCCAGTGGACAATTCCTGAACTGCAACTGCCAGAATCCCCAAATCCCAGCATGGGTCAGGCTGGAAGGACCCAGAGTGGGCCCCTGGCCCAACCTCCCAGCTCAGGCAGCATCATGCCTTAGACCAGGATTGGGTCCACAGCAGGACAGAACTGGACACGGCACTGGGCAGGGTTGTACATGGCACTGGGCACAGCTGGTCACGGCACTCCCGATGCTCCTCACTGGGAAGGGCAGAGGGGCACAAACATTCCCTCACCTCCTGGTCCCACCCCTCCTGATGCCCCCTGGATCGCTCCTGGCCATGGGACACAAGACACAACGCCAGTTCCACAGCTCACCCACCAGCACCCCCAGGTTCTTCCCCAGAGCTGCTCCAGCAGGTCCCACCCAGCCTGGACTGGAACTGGGGACTGTCTGTTCCCAGGGACAGGATCTGCCCTTCCCTCTTGAACCTCCCAGTTTCCAGCCTTTGAGGTCCCCCTGAAGTGCAGGATGTGGCAGGATGCTCTGCCTGGAATATGGCCAAGGGACAATGCCCTGTTTGTGGCCACTGGAGCAGCACTGAGAGGGGTCTGGTGCTGCTTTTGCTGCTGAGTGGGGCTAAAACCAGCCCAAATCACATGCGCCAAATTGACAACTGAGGATGAAGCACCAGAGCTGAGCCTGGCCATCCATCATCTGACCCTGGGAATGTCCAGTCCCCTCTCAGAGAGAGATTCCTCTCTCCTGTTTCTGCTTGGAATGAAATGTGTGTGAGGTTCCTCCCTCCGGAAGGGGATGCTCCCCAAGGATCCTCCTTGAGTTTGAAAGAAAGAGACATTCCCATGAGTGTTGGTGTGAGGAGTGCCATTGAGCCCTGCTTAAGAATTGTCCCTTTTTGCTGGCTTTGACAGATATACTAAATAGAATTGTTTTGATAGAATTATTTAATAGAATTGCTTTGCACAATGATACTGATGGCCGCAATGGCTACATTGGCTGTTGTAACTTTGTGGCTCAAGTAATCTTGGTGATCAAGGTGGTCACAGTGGCCTTGGTGATTATAGTTACCATGGTGGCCAGGGTGGCTGTGGTGCCTGCAGTGACAATGGTGGCCCCAGTTACCTCATGGTGGCAATAGTGGCAGTGGTGGCCTTGGTAGCCTTGGTGCTCTTGTTTCTCTTGGGGTCCTGGTGGTATTCTTGATCGTGGTGGCAACAGTGACAACAGTGACCTTGGTTGCCATGCTGGCCATGGTTGCCGCTGTGACCCCAGTAACGTCGGTGGCCTCGTGGCTCAGAGGATTCCAGTGGCCACTGCCAGGGCTGTGGTGGCCAGGAGGAGTCGTCCCCCAACGTGGAAGGGGGCACTGGAGACACTCCCACCTGAGGGACAAAGATGAGCATCAGGGGGATCATGAGGGGAGTGAAGGGGTCAGGGATGGCAATAAGGGAGACTTAGGGGTTACAGGAGAGATGGGTGCCATGAGGTGACAGGTGACAGGGTGTCAGGGGGGGCATGGGGAGAAAGAGAGCCCAGGGAGGTCAGGGGGGGTCTTGGTGGACTTAGGAGGGACAGGGGTCAGGAGGAGTCAGGGATTGCAGTGGAGGGGTTACAGTGGGTTACAGGTATTCAGGGAGTACCATCCGGTGGTCCTGGCCCACCCACATTCTGTACACAGGGCCCATCCCCAAAGAACACTGCCATTATCAGAGAGGGACAGGGTTGGAACCGTGGGGGGTCCCTGTCCCTGTCCCTGTCCCCTGTCCCTGTCTCTGTCCCTATCCCTTGTCCCCTGGCACGGCTGTTCCTGTCCCTGTTCCCTCCCGGAAGTGGGGGTCCCTATCTCTGTTCCCTGTCATGGATGTTCCTGTGCCTGTGCCCACAATGGGTGTCCCCAGAATAGGAGCCCCCAGCCCAGGGTATCCTTGTAACCCCACACATTGTGGGTGTCCTTGTCCACCATCCCCAGTCAGTGTCATTGTCCCCTGTGCCTTATCATGGCTGTCCTCATTCCCCCAGGCGGTCACCTGTAGTGTCACCTCGCAGCCACTCGCAGTTGTATTTGCTGTAGGTCCCATTGGACTGGAGCTGGATCTGTGTCTTGTTTCCTTCCTGGGTGTATTGGGTTACATTGAAAGTCTCAAAGGGTGGGATCAGCACAACCTTCTCTTCTGGATTTTTGGTGAAAGACTGGATTTCCACGCCTTGGCATGTGTGCACCTCAAGCATTGTCTCAACGGGGCACTCGCCAGTTTGATTGCTCGGTAACACGAGCATGAAATGACCGAACCGGACGGTGTCACCACGCTGTGCCTTGTAGCAGGTGCCAGACACATTCAGGAATACGTCCCGACACTGCCCTTTCTGAGCGTCCCTCAGCGTGGCCAGGGCATCAGTCAGCAGGAAATGCAGCGTTTTGAAGTGGAAGTTGTCTCGGTATTCCTGGCGGGAATGCCCGGCCTCGCGCAGGGCATCATTGACTTTTGTGTGGTCAGTCATTAACAAGGCCATGATGGCGGTGGCCTGGTCTGGGGACAGAGGGGACTCAGGGGGGTCCTGACTCTGCCACTCGGCTGCAGCCTTTACCCAAACCTCAGCAAACTCCTTGTTCTGCTCAAACTCGGAGCTGTTGAGGGCTGGCAATGCCTCCTTCATGGCAGGGCCGCAGCCCTGGTACTGGTCATCAAAGGAGTCTGGGGCCATGTCCAGGGGGATCACATCGACAGCTGTGGTGGCCATGGCCATTGCCAGCAGTACCAGGGTCTGAGCCAGGGGGCCCATGGCAGGGAGAGGCCACAGGGACCAGTGTGGACTCTGGAGGACACAGAGGGGACATGAGGGAGACACGGGGAGGGTTCATCAGTGAAGGACTGGGGAAGGGAGTGGGGTCAGCAGGGGAGTGGGGTCAGGGGGAAGAGAGGCACTCCTGCCCAGCCGACCCGTGCACATGTCTGAGTTCCCTGACCCCAAAATCTGGGATTACTTATGCCTCCCCAACATCCCCCAGCCCCAGGGTCCCCAGTCCACAGCACCATCAACCCCAGAAGCCCAATCCTACTCCCATGACTACAAGTCCCCTCAACCCCAGCAGAATCCCCACCCAAATCCTGGGGTCACTCCCTGAGCCCCTCAGTGTCCCTCTCAGTTGGTCCCCAGACCCCACGCCTAGTCCCATTCCCCAGTTCCTTTGGTATCACCCCAGGACATCAACCCAAATCCAGGCATCACCCTCTGCCCGCACAGTGTCTCCCAGCCCCCCATCACCCCAATCCCACCACATTCTCACCATCCCGTGTCCCCCCTCATTTTCCCCCAGAGCCCCCCATGACCCCAGTCCCTGGCCTGTGACTCCCTCAGTATACCCCCATGTCTGCAATCCCATTCCCTCAGTCCCTTGTCCCCCCCACAAGAGTCCCCCCCGAGTCCCCCCAGCCCCAATACCAAAATCAGCCGGAGTGAACTGCCTGATGGATCTGGAGATAGCAGAAAGCCGGAATTCCTTACCAGCTCAGATCGGCAGCAGATCTCCCCTGGTCCTGCACATCAGGGGCGATTTGCCATGGGGTATTTATCCACCATATTTATAAATATTCATGAAAATGTCTCCCTTAGCTAATACAGAAACTGTATTTTTCCTGTAAATCATTTGCATTGATCCTGGAGTCATTTTATTGTCCTGGAGAGTCATAAAAATGGGGCTGCTGGGTATCATTTTCACCAAATACTTTGATACCAAAGGCACTTTTCCTGGAACAATTTCTTTGCACAGGTGCTGTTGTTTCCTGTTACAGAACTTGCCAAAACCCCACTGGAGTTCCCTTTGTCTGTTTCTCCATGGGTTCTAGCTGTGATTTTCATCTTGTGTGCACACCTCTCCATCCTTTTATCATTCCTGCCAGTTTGTCTTCAGTGTCTGTCCAGCACCTTCAGGGGAAGGGAAAATTTCCATTCTCTCTGTTATTTGTCACTTTGTGAAAGAAATGCTCCAGTCCAGTCATCATCCATGGTACCATCGCGGATCTCCAGGTCTTTCCTGTCCTGAGGAGCCCAGAACGGGAAAGAGCACTGGGCAGAACTGGACATGGCACTGGGCATAGCTGGACATGGCATTGGGCAGAGCTGCACACAGAGCTGGACAGAGCTGGACACTGGGCAGAGCTGGACACAGCCCTGAGCAGAGCCGGAAATGGCGCTGAACAGAGTTGGGCACAGCACTCCTGATGTGCCTCACTGGGCAGGGAGAGGGGCACGATCACTCCCTGACTTCCTGGCCCTGCTCCTCTGAGTGCCCCCCAGATCTCTCCTGGCCCCAGGCCACATGGCCAGCTCCACTGGTCACCCAGCAGCACCCCCAGGTCATTCCCCACAGCTGCTCCAGCAGGTCCCCACCAGCCAGGCAGGGCACTGGGGCTAAATTGGGCTAAAACCAGCCAAAATCACCAACCCTGAACTGACAAATGCTCATAAAGTACCAGAGCTGGCCCTGGCCATCCATCAGCTGACCCTGGCAATGCCCAGTCCCCTCTCAGACAGAAATTCCTCTCCCCTATTCATACTTGGCATGAAAAGTGTGTGAAGTTCCTCCCTCGGGAAGGGGATACTCCCCAAGCATCCTCCTGAAAGCTGAGAGAAAGAGACGTTCCCACAAGTGTTGGCATGGGGAATGATATTGAGCCCTGGGTAGGAATTGTCACTTTTGACTGGCTCTGTCAGAATTACTTCATGGAATAGTTTTGGAAGAATTATTTAATGGAGTTGTTTTGATAGAACCATGTAATAGATTTGATTTGACAGAATAATTTATTAGAATGTGAATTGACCAAACCAGACCCTCTGGTCACACCATGCCTGGAACTGGACATCATGCACATCCCGGAACACGTGGTGATACTGCCCGTTCTGAGCCTGCCTCAGTGTCACCAGGGCCTGGGTCAGCAGGAAATGCAGCATTTTGAAGTGGACGTTGTTCCGGTATTCCTGGCGGGAGCTCCCGGCCACACACACGGCTGCATTGAACTCCTTGTAAATGTCCTTTGTTGTGTAGGCCATGAGAGCAACGGCCTGGGCTGGGGATGCCAGAGGGGACACAGGGGGAGCCCCGCTTGTGCCACTCAGCCTCGGCCTTCACCCAGGTCTGGGTGCACAGAGGATTCATCTGGAACTCAAAGTGGCTGAGGGCCGGCAATGCCACGATCACGGCAGGCCTGCAGCCACCCCGATACTGGTCATGAAAGGAGTCCTGGGCCATGTCCAGGGGCAGCACCTTGATGGCTGCAGTGGTCACAGTCATTGCCAGCAGTGCCAGGGTGCGAGCCAGGAGGGCCATGGCAGGGAAGTTCCTGGGAGCAATGTGGGACACTGGGGGACAAAGTGGGACACACTGAGGGGACACTGAGGACACACGGGGCTACATGGGAAGGGCTCCTCTGTGAGGGGCTCAGCATGGCCCCTGAGCTCCAACCAGATGAACTTTAGAACAGTGGCCATTTATCCTCATTTCCTAGGAGGCCTTGGACATTTTGCTTTTGTTCTCCTATGCAGCGAGTCGCTTTATCAGGGACAGGGTTGTATTTAGTGCATTTTTCTTGATTATGATCTGTGCTCCATATATTTTATCCTGTATTTAGCAGATAACCAGTAATAATGTTAATAAGACAATAGCCTTACAGATGGGAACTGCTTTAACATCAAGGTACACAAACTCTTTGCATAAAGAACCGAGAAGGGGAAGATGTGGAAGACCAGACCGCTACAGAAGCTCAGCTGGGGAGCATGGCAGACCTTGTGGCCCTGGTAGAGTGAAGACTGTGGGAGAGAAAGACTCCAGGCAAGTACAGAAGTGATGACGTCATGTCTGATCACTCTGCCCATCATGTCTGGACACTTCTGACCATCACGCTGAGCACTCTGGCCAGAGAAGAGATGACAGGGATGTTGCTGGTGAAAGAGATAACAAGGACATTACCAGTGTAAGAAGGATAATGGAGAATATTGTGTTTCTAAGGGGACTGGGGCAAAGGGGTCCAAGTAGAAAACTTTGTACAAACATAGTGAGCTATAAATCCTGGTAAATTGGTGCAATAAATGGCTTTGATTTGCTGGCATTGCAGAGTCCATGTCTCTCAATCCCCGCACACCAGCTGCCCAGTCCCAATCCCAATCCTGTGTTTACACTTCCAATGTCCCCCTGGTGCTTCCCAGGATCTCATTTCTGCTCCCAGACCTTTGTAGCCCTCTTGTGACCCCAGGTTGCTCAGGAACCTCACCCAAATTCCTTAAGCCACTCTGTCACCGCCCCTGCCCAAGTCCACCTTGGCCCTCTCCCAGACCCCAGTCCCGCTCCCAGTCCTGTTACCCATTTCACATCACCCCAGGACCACAACCCAAATTTAGGGACCCCAACCTGTGACCCTGTAATGTCGGCCTGGAGCCCTCCATGCCCCCACTCTACAATCCCAGTCCCATGTCCCTCCACAAGTGTCCCCTGGAGTCCCCCCAACCACCGATATTGAAATTGAACAGAGTGAACTCCCTGATGGAAATGGAGGAAGCAGAAAGATGGAATTTTTGTTTAGCTCAGACTCACAGCAGATCTCTCCTGGTCCTGCACATCAGGGAGGACCTTATCAACAAAATCTATCCATCTTAATTATACATGTTCATCAAAATGTACTTCTTAGCTAACACAAAACCAGCACATTTCCCATTAATAATTAGCATGGCTCGGTCACTTTTGGGAAATAATTTTTATTGCCCTGGAGGGTCATAAAATTGGTCAGTTCAGATGTTAGGGTTTCACTAAGTGTCGCAATATCTCACATGACCTTGCTTCAAACTTTCGTTTTTGCAGGCACTGCTCCTTCTGTGTTACAGATCTTGCCAAAAACCCCTCACTGGAGTGCCCTTTCTCCCTTTCTCCACAGGTTCCAGTAACCTTTGCTCTTCTGTGTGCACATTTTTACATCCTTCTATCGGTTTTTGTTTGTTCTTCTTAAAGCCTTATGCAGCACCTTCAGGAGAACTCAAACTTTCTATTCTCTCTCGTCTTGCTCAGCCCCAATGACCCCAGTCCCACAGTCCCATATCCCCGCAATGCCACCCAGTCCCACTCCCCACTGCTCACTGAGTTGCTGCCACCCCTCAGATACCAGTTGGGGTCCCCTATCAGATGACATCCCTGTGGGCACCTTGAGCCTTGAGGGGATGGATCTCTTGGGGGAGTGCCTGGGTGAGTTCCCTGGCCTTATTCATGTGGCAGGAGTACTCCTGGAGCCCCCAAAAAGGGATCCAGAAACACCAGAAGATATCTGAGCCTATGTTGGCGTGGTAGCTCAGAAAAGCCATTTCCCAGTAATCCCCAGGAGTGTTTCCTCTTTCAGTGATGCCTGGAGGTGATGGTTTTGAATGCAAAGGTTTCTTTTGAAGACATATCAGGCATTGCTCTGTAACAGACCTGACAATTTTGTCCTAAGGACACTGAGGATCTGAGGCCACAGACCAGTCCCTATTGCATCAATTCCCCAGAGCTTTGCTGGTGCTTTTCTCCTTTACAAATTGCAGCAGCAGGTGCGGAATTCCTGACCTGGTTATTGGGAGTTACCTCTCACCTACCCAGCCACCCTCTTTATTGTGGGCTTTTAGATAAGCAGCCAATTTTCAATCTGCCCAACTCTCTCCAGGCCTCACCTCTGGGGCTGAAATTCCTTTCTCAGGAATTAACACCAGCATGCTTTGTTGTGGAACCTCTCATGCAGTTTTATTGCAAGTCTATTTCCAACGGG